TCCGATCTGCACCCCTGATCTTTTCGATTTGATCTTGGGCAATGAGCCGCGTTCAGGCTCCAATAGTCCAGATCCTTTCGTCCGTCCTTCAAACGTAGCAAATACCACCACACCACAGTTTGGTGGCGTTAAACAGCTGGTTGTGGCCACCATTGAGACTCCTACTGCAACTCCCGACAAAGAGGATGCAGCCAGCAGTCAAGAAATGAATCAAGATTCGATAGTCACTCAACGATTTCCGGAAAATAAATTGTTGGAAAGTGAGAGCGAAGACGAAGATGTACCGAATCAAGATTTTGTGGCAACCCAGGCTTTTAAATTGGGACGCCCCCAACAAGACAAAGTTCCTAATTCACCAAAAGATAACGAAACCAACCAAGACTTCATAGCTACTCAGGCGTTTAATTTTAGACGTCCACAACCACCCGACTCTCCTAAGGCACCGAAAGCTAATACGAATTGCAACCAAGATTTCATAGCCACTCAAGCGTTTCCCGCCAATATTAATAGCTCTAGGTGTCAGGACTTTATAGAAACACAACAATTTAATCCGGGTAATCAGAATTCCTTGAGTTTTGGTAACAAAGAAAATATTCCACACGACAACAATACCGAAAAAGCTGCAGGTAATAACAACAGTTAATATCTTGTATTACGGACATGACATTATCCTTTTCAGGTTCAAAATCCGTCGAGGAGCCTTGTGATGAAATAGATGCTGTGCTCAACGAAATGATTTCTGGGACAATCGTAACATCACCTGTAAATCCTAACGAAGAGCCGATAAAATTCTTTAAGCCGTGCGTGATTAAAGATAAGAATCACTTTCAAAAGGTAATTTTAAGATATCCTAGGTCCATTAGCTATAAAGAACAATATTCTACTTTAAAGGTTTGTCAAATCGAGGGGGTTTTCGGTGACATTAGTAACAAAAGACGGTGGCGCTCTGAGGGCACTAGAGATGGCAGTCGCAAACGCGTAGCCAGATCGGAATCTCCCCCGGAAACACGTATGTCCTTTATAACTTATAAATACATAAATCGGAGAAGTATTAAAAAACCATTTATTTCACAGCAAGCCGAAAAAATAGACGAACATCAGAGGGTTCTCAGGGATTGGAATATAACTTGAGAAAGCGGAGAGCAACTTCAGTGGATAAAAAATCAGAACGTAAGTGGTTGGAGAATCCATGAAATCTATACTTATGTAAAAATTTCCAGCTCTCAACAAATTTATTTGCAAAGAACATGATGTATCCCCGCATACAGAAGAAAAAGATAAGGATGATAAAATAAACTCTCCTTTAAAAGTGATGGCCAATAAATGGCAAGCACGTAGAAGTATAATAAATAACCGATCCGGTACTCCAGGAAACTCTTTAGAAACGAATAAAGTTGAAGATGAGATGCAGGCTAAATCTAAAGATGAGCTATCCGCAACCCCGTCCATTCAAGAGCCTTCATCTAGCGGTGCCAATGCCAAGGAACCATCTGTTCGTGCACCAAGAGCAACTCGTGCTACAAAGTCGCGATCCACAACACCTTCTGTCGATGATCTATTGCCGTCCATTGAAGAGCCTTCACCAAGCGGTGCCAATGCCAAGGGACCAGAGGTTCGTGCACCTAGAGCAACTCGTGCTAAAGTTCCAATGAACAGATCAGGCGCGAGTAAGTTATATTCTTATTGGTTTTGTATTGCCAAATTTAACAATCTTACATTGCAGCCACTACGAGATTCAGCCAGCCAGATCCGGATTCACTTAAAGGTACTTGCGCTCACCAAGAAATTTAAAATCTTTCTAACTTGTAATATATTGTTTCCGTTAGCATTTAATCAATATGTGAGAAAGGCCAAAACGGATGGAAAAATTAAGATAGCATTCACCATGTGTAACCGTCCGGCATTGGAATATGTCTTAAAATCTTTGAAACATGTGGTGGAAATCACCGAAGATCCCGTCCAGTGCGACCTTCTCATCATGGACAAAGGCGAGCGGACCTACAAATTCCTCATAGCCATCGCTTCCAATAAACCCGTTCTCTCCACCAATTGGCTGCATTCCGTCAAGAAGACCAGGACCATCGAAGTAAAAGCAGATCATATTTTTAGTGATGCCAAGTTCGAGGAGACCATGAAGTTTAAGCCCTTGTCTGTACTGCAGCACACTCGTTTGCTAAGTGGTTTGCACTTTATGCTCGGTGAAGACATCATTCCAAAGCCCATCGAATTGAAAGGCAAGTCTTTCTGAGTATAATTTCTACCAATTTGTTGTGTAACTCTTTTTAATCTCCCCCAGTCATAATTCAAAGTGCCGGCGGAAAGGTGCTCACCCAACCGCCCTCGCTGGCCTTCAGTGTGGAGCTGTACGTGGTCACCACCAGCAAGGACCAAAAATTCCATCGACGCCTGCGGAACCACGAAAAAGTACATTTCATCAAAACCGAGGGCGTTATGCAGGCGCTTGTACGGCACAATGCGGAACTCCTGAACGAGCACAAGCTCAAAGTTTAAATGCCATATTTTGACATTGATCCTAACTTTTTCCTGCCAAACTTCGGAGCCGTTCCTGATTACCTACGAAAAAAAGCACATCACTAACAATGTCCCAGACTAGCATACTATCAAGCTTTAACTTTAGGTTTTTGTTTCATATTTAATTTTTTGTTTCATGTTGGGGCTAACTTGATTGTGGCCATACAATTTGAGTTGTACAAATGGTTGCCTTCATATGGCCCGTCAAATATATCCATACGATTATGCTTAAAATTGTGGGTCTACGTAAAACTACTCCATCTTTTTTCGCTTCGAGCCCGTGGGCTTGTCGAACTGCTGCCTCATGCCGCCGCCGCGTTCGTTGTGGAACTTGATGTTGCTGGAGGATTCGGCGTACCAGGGCGAGTCAAACTTGGTGGTGTCCTGGTCTACTAAATGCGTGTATTTGGTGCGCCCGCAACGGCCGAAGTTCTTCACCTGCATCACCTTAGGCAGGATGGTCTTGTCGAAGTGATCCTCTAGCGTGGCCTGGGCAAAGTCGCGCTTCAGCACATCGTTCTCCTCGTCCAAGTAGAAGGCGCCGCGGTGGTAGTACTTCTGCAGGAACTTGTACTTGCCCTTGGTGGCCTTGTTGGTGACCAGCTTGGGGTTCTGGCGCAGTTCCTGTCGTCGCTCCTCCTCGGTCATGTTACGCATGCGATCGATGTCCAGCTTTTCGCGTTCGTTGCTGTAAGATAGGGGAAGAATTAAATGCGGGTTCCAAAGATAGTAGAAGTTAACTTACTTATCCCGCTCCTCGCGATCCCGCTTCATCCTCTTGAGTTCGCGCAGCTTCCAGGCCTCGTACTCCACCTCTAATTTATCATTCTTTTCCTGAAACTGGGTGGCCAAGTGGACAGCCTGGGACAACTCGTGCTGCAGGGCATCAATCTTGGTGTGAGATTCGCTTCTGTCCGTCTCCAGCCGGTGGAGAGCATTACGAAGTTGCTGAACCTCGTAGTTGAGGCTCTGGGCTGTTTGCTCAGCTCCACTGAGGGCTGCATCCTTGGAACGATCTACCTCGATGGCCACTGATATGCGCTGCTGGTACTCCAACAGTTGGGATTGCAGGGTGTGAACAGTTTTCTCTAGATGCTGTCTCCTCAGTTGTTCCTCTTTCAGGGAAGGACTGCACAAGAGTTGGTTGGGAGAATTGTTGTCCAGGACAGTTCTCGACATGCTACTCTTGCCCCAGAGTTCACTCAGGCTGATAAGCTTGTTGTCGTTCAAGCTGTTGCGTGCGCCTCTCACTACTTCCTTCACTGAAGCAGCGCCGGAGGACGAGGAAGCCAGTCGCATGCTAGGCAAGGATGTGGCCGCCGGATGACCCTCTTGCACCACCCGCTCGTTCCGCAGATGGTCATCGCTATGGTGATGCAGGTGATGATCCTGCCTCTGCCAGCGATGTGCATTGTTGTCGTCCAGGTAGTGATCAATCTCCAGGAGTATGTTATCCTCTAAGGGTCGGTGGCGAAGAGGCTCCACAGATCCACTTTTTGGAGTGGAGTGCACCATGCCATGGAGCTCCCTGTTTGGCCGTCCTGCTGCATTTCTCACGGTATTCGTGGATATGGTGGATATATCCGATGGTGGCTCAAATCCTCGATCATCCTCCGCATCCAGTCCGATGTTCTGCAACCGTGCATTTATGTTATTGAGCTCCGATTTCTTGCTGGGATGCAGGAACTGGTACGCCGCACTTGTGGGCGCGGGGGGCGGGGGCATGGCCAGTGCATCGGCCGCTGCGCCTGCGCCTGAGCTCATCTTCACCTCCGAATAGTAATTGGGCGGTATGAGCAGCAACAGATCGGTGTCGTCCGTGTCCGTATCGCTCATTCCTCACGCATGTCGAGCCAGCTCGAGTCAAAACGCACCGGTTTGCAGTAAAATACGGATAACAGATGCAATTGGTTGGTTGCTATAGTGATAACACGACGCGTAAACATTGCAACAGGGCTGTCGAGTTTTGGTGATAATGCACGACTATCGTATACAAAAAATAAGATACATATCGAATACAGCGAGCCCTTAAGATATTTTTAAGAGTATACGACAATTTATTTTGGTTTTTAATATTAAGAGGCCATACTAAACAAATTTTATTTTATTACAGTTTTAATTAAGTATCAAATGTAACTATACTATATTTGCAAAACTACATTTCACTTCACTTAACCTTAGAAAGAAATTATTTTGTATAATTTTAAAACCGTTTTTTCTAATGTAACAAATAAATTCAGATTTACTATTTCTGTTTATACCGTTGCAATCAGCAACCATTTTAAAAATTATAATTTAACTTATAAACAATACGATTGTCTTTTTCAAGCATCTGACCAAATTTATAATACCCTCAGTAAGGGTATAACATACATTTCTTGTCAGTTTGCCGTGAGCTGACCACCATGATTCAATTATTTTGACATATCGGTTATCGATTGTCGCTTGGGCGCCCTGTAATCGATTAATGTGACCGTGAAAGGACTCTGTTAACCAGATTTTTTGTTTGAAGCAAGTGTTTTTCTATTAATTTTCCCGCCAGGGACGCTTCAGGATGGCATATGTAAGCTTGATTGTCTGCGGGTCACCGGCGGTACACCTGGAACCAGATATAATCTACAGGATTGGGCGGAAAAAGGGTCTGGAAATCAGCATCGCCGATGAGGTGAGCGACATAAGGCTTTAAATACACTTTAGGGCTTTAAATAACTCGCGCTTCAATTGCACAGTCCATGGAACTGGCCCATGCCACCGCCTGCATCCTCCGCCGCGGAGTTGTGCGCCTGGCCGCCATGGTTGGCAGTATATTCGTCAACGACCAGGAGAAGACTGTGGCGGACATCAGCAAGGCGGAAGCCTTCGACGGCACGGTTAAGCTCCGGTTTGGAAATGTGGAGGCCAGGCTGGAAATCAGAGACGAGAACGATGAGGTGAGCAGTGCACAAAACATCCATCCTAAACAAGGATCACATACTCCATTTAAACTAAATACAATGCTAATATATTTTTTCAGGCCCATGACAGCAGCGGATTTGGGGAATGCCCGAAAGACAGGTCAAACAACTCCACAATGGACAGCTTCAATATACCTGAAACGCAGCCTCCGTCCGCCAACACGTCAGCAAACACCTCGGCGGACAGCTTCTTTATACCTGAGACCCAGGCGGTTAACTTTGAAAGACCGTCGACCAGTGGAAAAGTGTCGCTGGGCGATGACTTTATGATACCTGAAACGCAGGATCTGCTGGCCGAACTTCCATCTGTGCAGTTCAATGATCCAGTGATTAACCACAAAGAGTTGAGTAATGATGCGGACTTCTCCCAGGGCAGCGAGATACGGATTTGCACTCAGGACTTCAACGAGGATGCCATCGATGACTTTGATTCATCGCAGATCCTTTGTGATGCTATGCTTGATCTGCCGCTACCAAGGCCAATAGAAACTTTGGAGAAAAAAGATAGTAAGCGGGGTAGGTACAGCCCTTGCAAACGGGAAACTTTCAATCCTAATTAAATACTTTGAATTATTTAGATCAACTAAATGCCACCGACTTGGAAATGAGTGCCTTGAATTGGTCAGCCAGCAATTCGAAATCCTGTGCCCTAAGTAGCACCGCAATCCTGCCAAGCGGTGATGCCTGCATAACTCCTGAACTGTCAGCTCCCTCCGAAGATCGTCCGATCTGCACCCCTGATCTTTTCGATTTGATCTTGGGCAATGAGCCGCGTTCAGGCTCCAATAGTCCAGATCCTTTCGTCCGTCCTTCAAACGTAGCAAATACCACCACACCACAGTTTGGTGGCGTTAAACAGCTGGTTGTGGCCACCATTGAGACTCCTACTGCAACTCCCGACAAAGAGGATGCAGCCAGCAGTCAAGAAATGAATCAAGATTCGATAGTCACTCAACGATTTCCGGAAAATAAATTGTTGGAAAGTGAGAGCGAAGACGAAGATGTACCGAATCAAGATTTTGTGGCAACCCAGGCTTTTAAATTGGGACGCCCCCAACAAGACAAAGTTCCTAATTCACCAAAAGATAACGAAACCAACCAAGACTTCATAGCTACTCAGGCGTTTAATTTTAGACGTCCACAACCACCCGACTCTCCTAAGGCACCGAAAGCTAATACGAATTGCAACCAAGATTTCATAGCCACTCAAGCGTTTCCCGCCAATATTAATAGCTCTAGGTGTCAGGACTTTATAGAAACACAACAATTTAATCCGGGTAATCAGAATTCCTTGAGTTTTGGTAACAAAGAAAATATTCCACACGACAACAATACCGAAAAAGCTGCAGGTAATAACAACAGTTAATATCTTGTATTACGGACATGACATTATCCTTTTCAGGTTCAAAATCCGTCGAGGAGCCTTGTGATGAAATAGATGCTGTGCTCAACGAAATGATTTCTGGGACAATCGTAACATCACCTGTAAATCCTAACGAAGAGCCGATAAAATTCTTTAAGCCGTGCGTGATTAAAGATAAGAATCACTTTCAAAAGGTAATTTTAAGATATCCTAGGTCCATTAGCTATAAAGAACAATATTCTACTTTAAAGGTTTGTCAAATCGAGGGGGTTTTCGGTGACATTAGTAACAAAAGACGGTGGCGCTCTGAGGGCACTAGAGATGGCAGTCGCAAACGCGTAGCCAGATCGGAATCTCCCCCGGAAACACGTATGTCCTTTATAACTTATAAATACATAAATCGGAGAAGTATTAAAAAACCATTTATTTCACAGCAAGCCGAAAAAATAGACGAACATCAGAGGGTTCTCAGGGATTGGAATATAACTTGAGAAAGCGGAGAGCAACTTCAGTGGATAAAAAATCAGAACGTAAGTGGTTGGAGAATCCATGAAATCTATACTTATGTAAAAATTTCCAGCTCTCAACAAATTTATTTGCAAAGAACATGATGTATCCCCGCATACAGAAGAAAAAGATAAGGATGATAAAATAAACTCTCCTTTAAAAGTGATGGCCAATAAATGGCAAGCACGTAGAAGTATAATAAATAACCGATCCGGTACTCCAGGAAACTCTTTAGAAACGAATAAAGTTGAAGATGAGATGCAGGCTAAATCTAAAGATGAGCTATCCGCAACCCCGTCCATTCAAGAGCCTTCATCTAGCGGTGCCAATGCCAAGGAACCATCTGTTCGTGCACCAAGAGCAACTCGTGCTACAAAGTCGCGATCCACAACACCTTCTGTCGATGATCTATTGCCGTCCATTGAAGAGCCTTCACCAAGCGGTGCCAATGCCAAGGGACCAGAGGTTCGTGCACCTAGAGCAACTCGTGCTAAAGTTCCAATGAACAGATCAGGCGCGAGTAAGTTATATTCTTATTGGTTTTGTATTGCCAAATTTAACAATCTTACATTGCAGCCACTACGAGATTCAGCCAGCCAGATCCGGATTCACTTAAAGGTACTTGCGCTCACCAAGAAATTTAAAATCTTTCTAACTTGTAATATATTGTTTCCGTTAGCATTTAATCAATATGTGAGAAAGGCCAAAACGGATGGAAAAATTAAGATAGCATTCACCATGTGTAACCGTCCGGCATTGGAATCTGTCTTAAAATCTTTGAAACATGTGGTGGAAATCACCGAAGATCCCGTCCAGTGCGACCTTCTCATCATGGACAAAGGCGAGCGGACCTACAAATTCCTCATAGCCATCGCTTCCAATAAACCCGTTCTCTCCACCAATTGGCTGCATTCCGTCAAGAAGACCAGGACCATCGAAGTAAAAGCAGATCATATTTTTAGTGATGCCAAGTTCGAGGAGACCATGAAGTTTAAGCCCTTGTCTGTACTGCAGCACACTCGTTTGCTAAGTGGTTTGCACTTTATGCTCGGTGAAGACATCATTCCAAAGCCCATCGAATTGAAAGGCAAGTCTTTCTGAGTATAATTTCTACCAATTTGTTGTGTAACTCTTTTTAATCTCCCCCAGTCATAATTCAAAGTGCCGGCGGAAAGGTGCTCACCCAACCGCCCTCGCTGGCCTTCAGTGTGGAGCTGTACGTGGTCACCACCAGCAAGGACCAAAAATTCCATCGACGCCTGCGGAACCACGAAAAAGTACATTTCATCAAAACCGAGGGCGTTATGCAGGCGCTTGTACGGCACAATGCGGAACTCCTGAACGAGCACAAGCTCAAAGTTTAAATGCCATATTTTGACATTGATCCTAACTTTTTCCTGCCAAACTTCGGAGCCGTTCCTGATTACCTACGAAAAAAAGCACATCACTAACAATGTCCCAGACTAGCATACTATCAAGCTTTAACTTTAGGTTTTTGTTTCATATTTAATTTTTTGTTTCATGTTGGGGCTAACTTAATTGTGGCCATACAATTTGAGTTGTACAAATGGTTGCCTTCATATGGCCCGTCAAATATATCCATACGATTATGCTTAAAATTGTGGGTCTACGTAAAACTACTCCATCTTTTTTCGCTTCGAGCCCGTGGGCTTGTCGAACTGCTGCCTCATGCCGCCGCCGCGTTCGTTGTGGAACTTGATGTTGCTGGAGGATTCGGCGTACCAGGGCGAGTCAAACTTGGTGGTGTCCTGGTCTACTAAATGCGTGTATTTGGTGCGCCCGCAACGGCCGAAGTTCTTCACCTGCATCACCTTAGGCAGGATGGTCTTGTCGAAGTGATCCTCTAGCGTGGCCTGGGCAAAGTCGCGCTTCAGCACATCGTTCTCCTCGTCCAAGTAGAAGGCGCCGCGGTGGTAGTACTTCTGCAGGAACTTGTACTTGCCCTTGGTGGCCTTGTTGGTGACCAGCTTGGGGTTCTGGCGCAGTTCCTGTCGTCGCTCCTCCTCGGTCATGTTACGCATGCGATCGATGTCCAGCTTTTCGCGTTCGTTGCTGTAAGATAGGGGAAGAATTAAATGCGGGTTCCAAAGATAGTAGAAGTTAACTTACTTATCCCGCTCCTCGCGATCCCGCTTCATCCTCTTGAGTTCGCGCAGCTTCCAGGCCTCGTACTCCACCTCTAATTTATCATTCTTTTCCTGAAACTGGGTGGCCAAGTGGACAGCCTGGGACAACTCGTGCTGCAGGGCATCAATCTTGGTGTGAGATTCGCTTCTGTCCGTCTCCAGCCGGTGGAGAGCATTACGAAGTTGCTGAACCTCGTAGTTGAGGCTCTGGGCTGTTTGCTCAGCTCCACTGAGGGCTGCATCCTTGGAACGATCTACCTCGATGGCCACTGATATGCGCTGCTGGTACTCCAACAGTTGGGATTGCAGGGTGTGAACAGTTTTCTCTAGATGCTGTCTCCTCAGTTGTTCCTCTTTCAGGGAAGGACTGCACAAGAGTTGGTTGGGAGAATTGTTGTCCAGGACAGTTCTCGACATGCTACTCTTGCCCCAGAGTTCACTCAGGCTGATAAGCTTGTTGTCGTTCAAGCTGTTGCGTGCGCCTCTCACTACTTCCTTCACTGAAGCAGCGCCGGAGGACGAGGAAGCCAGTCGCATGCTAGGCAAGGATGTGGCCGCCGGATGACCCTCTTGCACCACCCGCTCGTTCCGCAGATGGTCATCGCTATGGTGATGCAGGTGATGATCCTGCCTCTGCCAGCGATGTGCATTGTTGTCGTCCAGGTAGTGATCAATCTCCAGGAGTATGTTATCCTCTAAGGGTCGGTGGCGAAGAGGCTCCACAGATCCACTTTTTGGAGTGGAGTGCACCATGCCATGGAGCTCCCTGTTTGGCCGTCCTGCTGCATTTCTCACGGTATTCGTGGATATGGTGGATATATCCGATGGTGGCTCAAATCCTCGATCATCCTCCGCATCCAGTCCGATGTTCTGCAACCGTGCATTTATGTTATTGAGCTCCGATTTCTTGCTGGGATGCAGGAACTGGTACGCCGCACTTGTGGGCGCGGGGGGCGGGGGCATGGCCAGTGCATCGGCCGCTGCGCCTGCGCCTGAGCTCATCTTCACCTCCGAATAGTAATTGGGCGGTATGAGCAGCAACAGATCGGTGTCGTCCGTGTCCGTATCGCTCATTCCTCACGCATGTCGAGCCAGCTCGAGTCAAAACGCACCGGTTTGCAGTAAAATACGGATAACAGATGCAATTGGTTGGTTGCTATAGTGATAACACGACGCGTAAACATTGCAACAGGGCTGTCGAGTTTTGGTGATAATGCACGACTATCGTATACAAAAAATAAGATACATATCGAATACAGCGAGCCCTTAAGATATTTTTAAGAGTATACGACAATTTATTTTGGTTTTTAATATTAAGAGGCCATACTAAACAAATTTTATTTTATTACAGTTTTAATTAAGTATCAAATGTAACTATACTATATTTGCAAAACTACATTTCACTTCACTTAACCTTAGAAAGAAATTATTTTGTATAATTTTAAAACCGTTTTTTCTAATGTAACAAATAAATTCAGATTTACTATTTCTGTTTATACCGTTGCAATCAGCTACCATTTTAAAAATTATAATTTAACTTATAAACAATACGATTGTCTTTTCAAGCATCTGACCAAATTTATAATACCCTCAGTAAGGGTATAACATACATTTCTTGTCAGTTTGCCGTGAGCTGACCACCATGATTCAATTATTTTGACATATCGGTTATCGATTGTCGCTTGGGCGCCCTGTAATCGATTAATGTGACCGTGAAAGGACTCTGTTAACCAGATTTTTTGTTTGAAGCAAGTGTTTTTCTATTAATTTTCCCGCCAGGGACGCTTCAGTATGGCATATGTAAGCTTGATTGTCTGCGGGTCACCGGCGGTACACCTGGAACCAGATATAATCTACAGGATTGGGCGGAAAAAGGGTCTGGAAATCAGCATCGCCGATGAGGTGAGCGACATAAGGCTTTAAATACACTTTAGGGCTTTAAATAACTCGCGCTTCAATTGCACAGTCCATGGAACTGGCCCATGCCACCGCCTGCATCCTCCGCCGCGGAGTTGTGCGCCTGGCCGCCATGGTTGGCAGTATATTCGTCAACGACCAGGAGAAGACTGTGGCGGACATCAGCAAGGCGGAAGCCTTCGACGGCACGGTTAAGCTCCGGTTTGGAAATGTGGAGGCCAGGCTGGAAATCAGAGACGAGAACGATGAGGTGAGCAGTGCACAAAACATCCATCCTAAACAAGGATCACATACTCCATTTAAACTAAATACAATGCTAATATATTTTTTCAGGCCCATGACAGCAGCGGATTTGGGGAATGCCCGAAAGACAGGTCAAACAACTCCACAATGGACAGCTTCAATATACCTGAAACGCAGCCTCCGTCCGCCAACACGTCAGCAAACACCTCGGCGGACAGCTTCTTTATACCTGAGACCCAGGCGGTTAACTTTGAAAGACCGTCGACCAGTGGAAAAGTGTCGCTGGGCGATGACTTTATGATACCTGAAACGCAGGATCTGCTGGCCGAACTTCCATCTGTGCAGTTCAATGATCCAGTGATTAACCACAAAGAGTTGAGTAATGATGCGGACTTCTCCCAGGGCAGCGAGATACGGATTTGCACTCAGGACTTCAACGAGGATGCCATCGATGACTTTGATTCATCGCAGATCCTTTGTGATGCTATGCTTGATCTGCCGCTACCAAGGCCAATAGAAACTTTGGAGAAAAAAGATAGTAAGCGGGGTAGGTACAGCCCTTGCAAACGGGAAACTTTCAATCCTAATTAAATACTTTGAATTATTTAGATCAACTAAATGCCACCGACTTGGAAATGAGTGCCTTGAATTGGTCAGCCAGCAATTCGAAATCCTGTGCCCTAAGTAGCACCGCAATCCTGCCAAGCGGTGATGCCTGCATAACTCCTGAACTGTCAGCTCCCTCCGAAGATCGTCCGATCTGCACCCCTGATCTTTTCGATTTGATCTTGGGCAATGAGCCGCGTTCAGGCTCCAATAGTCCAGATCCTTTCGTCCGTCCTTCAAACGTAGCAAATACCACCACACCACAGTTTGGTGGCGTTAAACAGCTGGTTGTGGCCACCATTGAGACTCCTACTGCAACTCCCGACAAAGAGGATGCAGCCAGCAGTCAAGAAATGAATCAAGATTCGATAGTCACTCAACGATTTCCGGAAAATAAATTGTTGGAAAGTGAGAGCGAAGACGAAGATGTACCGAATCAAGATTTTGTGGCAACCCAGGCTTTTAAATTGGGACGCCCCCAACAAGACAAAGTTCCTAATTCACCAAAAGATAACGAAACCAACCAAGACTTCATAGCTACTCAGGCGTTTAATTTTAGACGTCCACAACCACCCGACTCTCCTAAGGCACCGAGAGCTAATACGAATTGCAACCAAGATTTCATAGCCACTCAAGCGTTTCCCGCCAATATTAATAGCTCTAGGTGTCAGGACTTTATAGAAACACAACAATTTAATCCGGGTAATCAGAATTCCTTGAGTTTTGGTAACAAAGAAAATATTCCACACGACAACAATACCGAAAAAGCTGCAGGTAATAACAACAGTTAATATCTTGTATTACGGACATGACATTATCCTTTTCAGGTTCAAAATCCGTCGAGGAGCCTTGTGATGAAATAGATGCTGTGCTCAACGAAATGATTTCTGGGACAATCGTAACATCACCTGTAAATCCTAACGAAGAGCCGATAAAATTCTTTAAGCCGTGCGTGATTAAAGATAAGAATCACTTTCAAAAGGTAATTTTAAGATATCCTAGGTCCATTAGCTATAAAGAACAATATTCTACTTTAAAGGTTTGTCAAATCGAGGGGGTTTTCGGTGACATTAGTAACAAAAGACGGTGGCGCTCTGAGGGCACTAGAGATGGCAGTCGCAAACGCGTAGCCAGATCGGAATCTCCCCCGGAAACACGTATGTCCTTTATAACTTATAAATACATAAATCGGAGAAGTATTAAAAAACCATTTATTTCACAGCAAGCCGAAAAAATAGACGAACATCAGAGGGTTCTCAGGGATTGGAATATAACTTGAGAAAGCGGAGAGCAACTTCAGTGGATAAAAAATCAGAACGTAAGTGGTTGGAGAATCCATGAAATCTATACTTATGTAAAAATTTCCAGCTCTCAACAAATTTATTTGCAAAGAACATGATGTATCCCCGCATACAGAAGAAAAAGATAAGGATGATAAAATAAACTCTCCTTTCAAAGTGATGGCCAATAAATGGCAAGCACGTAGAAGTATAATAAATAACCGATCCGGTACTCCAGGAAACTCTTTAGAAACGAATAAAGTTGAAGATGAGATGCAGGCTAAATCTAAAGATGAGCTATCCGCAACCCCGTCCATTCAAGAGCCTTCATCTAGCGGTGCCAATGCCAAGGAACCATCTGTTCGTGCACCAAGAGCAACTCGTGCTACAAAGTCGCGATCCACAACACCTTCTGTCGATGATCTATTGCCGTCCATTGAAGAGCCTTCACCAAGCGGTGCCAATGCCAAGGGACCAGAGGTTCGTGCACCTAGAGCAACTCGTGCTACAAAGTCGCGATCCACAACACCATCTATCGATGAGCTATTGCCTTGTTCCGCCAGTGACAAAAAGCCCAAAATTGTAACTGCCAAAAAAGAAACTCGAAAGCCCGGTAGAAAAACCAAGGTCGTGGAGACAAACAAGGCAGACACATGCAATGATATTCCCAGGCCAATAACCAAAACTAGGCGCAATACTAGCCAAGTAGATGATGCACTTTCAGAGAAGGAAAGAAAGGTTGAAAGTGCGGATGTTGAAGTTGTTGAGACTCCTGATGCAGAAAAACCTGTGAAGTCAAAAAGAGGAAGAAAGGCCAAGAACCTGGAGACCAGTAAAGAAGGCACATCCAAAGAAATGGCGAAGCCAATGTCTACAACTAGGCGCCAGACTAGCGAAGAAGAAGTTAAGAAGCCTAATGCAGGAGGAGGAACAGAGGCCGAAAACGCCGAGACCAATATTGCCAATTCATCTTATGATACTCCAAAGCCCATGACCAAAACCAGGCGCAAAGCTAGCGTGGAAGATGTTGAGGACCCTAAGGCAGAAAAACCTGTCAAATCGGAAAAAGGAAGAAAGGCCAGGAATGTTGAGGCAAATAGGGCGGACACATCCAAAGATATGCCAAAAGTGATGACCAGAAACAGGCGCAAAACGATCGTCGAAGATGCTGAAACGATGAACGATGAAAAACCAATGGAGACTTCATTAAAACGTGTAGTTGTCCGTATACCCAGAGCAAGTGTTGACAAAATAGAGACTTCCTCAACCTCTGGGACTAGTTCCAGGGTGACTAGTGCAGCCAAGTCGCCTTCCATTGAAGAACCATTATCTAGCGTTGCTAATTCCAAGGTCCGTGGACCCAAGTTGGGTTCTGCAACGCCGTCCATTGAAGAGCCTTCATCTAGCGGTACGAAAGCCAAGGGGCCAGCTGTTCGTGCACCAAGAGCAAATCGTTCTACAAAGTCGCGATCCGCGACACCGTCCGTCGATGACGCCAGTGACAAAAAGCTCAAAACTGAAGCAGCCATTGAAAAGCCATCAACCAGCTCTACCAATACCAAAAAGGCTAAGACCTCAAGTAACGAGGAAGTTCCAATGAACAGATCAGGCGCGAGTAAGTTATATTCTTATTGGTTTTGTATTGCCAAATTTAACAATCTTACATTGCAGCCACTACGAGATTCAGCCAGCCAGATCCGGATTCACTTAAAGGTACTTGCGCTCACCAAGAAATTTAAAATCTTTCTAACTTGTAATATATTGTTTCCGTTAGCATTTAATCAATATGTGAGAAAGGCCAAAACGGATGGAAAAATTAAGATAGCATTCACCATGTGTAACCGTCCGGCATTGGAATCTGTCTTAAAATCTTTGAAACATGTGGTGGAAATCACCGAAGATCCCGTCCAGTGCGACCTTCTCATCATGGACAAAGGCGAGCGGACCTACAAATTCCTCATAGCCATCGCTTCCAATAAACCCGTTCTCTCCACCAATTGGCTGCATTCCGTCAAGAAGACCAGGACCATCGAAGTAAAAGCAGATCATATTTTTAGTGATGCCAAGTTCGAGGAGACCATGAAGTTTAAGCCCTTGTCTGTACTGCAGCACACTCGTTTGCTAAGTGGTTTGCACTTTATGCTCGGTGAAGACATCATTCCAAAGCCCATCGAATTGAAAGGCAAGTCTTTCTGAGTATAATTTCTACCAATTTGTTGTGTAACTCTTTTTAATCTCCCCCAGTCATAATTCAAAGTGCCGGCGGAAAGGTGCTCACCCAACCGCCCTCGCTGGCCTTCAGTGTGGAGCTGTACGTGGTCACCACCAGCAAGGACCACAAATTCCATCGACGCCTGCGGAACCACGAAAAAGTACATTTCATCAAAACCGAGGGCGTTATGCAGGCGCTTGTACGGCACAATGCGGAACTCCTGAACGAGCACAAGCTCAAAGTTTAAATGCCATATTTTGACATTGATCCTAACTTTTTCCTGCCAAACTTCGGAGCCGTTCCTGATTACCTACGAAAAAAAGCACATCACTAACAATGTCCCAGACTAGCATACTATCAAGCTTTAACTTTAGGTTTTTGTTTCATATTTAATTTTTTGTTTCATGTTGGGGCTAACTTAATTGTGGCCATACAATTTGAGTTGTACAAATGGTTGCCTTCATATGGCCCGTCAAATATATCCATACGATTATGCTTAAAATTGTGGGTCTACGTAAAACTACTCCATCTTTTTTCGCTTCGAGCCCGTGGGCTTGTCGAACTGCTGCCTCATGCCGCCGCCGCGTTCGTTGTGGAACTTGATGTTGCTGGAGGATTCGGCGTACCAGGGCGAGTCAAACTTGGTGGTGTCCTGGTCTACTAAATGCGTGTATTTGGTGCGCCCGCAACGGCCGAAGTTCTTCACCTGCATCACCTTAGGCAGGATGGTCTTGTCGAAGTGATCCTCTAGCGTGGCCAGGGCAAAGTCGCGCTTCAGCACATCGTTCTCCTCGTCCAAGTAGAAGGCGCCGCGGTGGTAGTACTTCTGCAGGAACTTGTACTTGCCCTTGGTGGCCTTGTTGGTGACCAGCTTGGGGTTCTGGCGCAGTTCCTGTCGTCGCTCCTCCTCGGTCATGTTACGCATGCGATCGATGTCCAGCTTTTCGCGTTCGTTGCTGTAAGATAGGGGAAGAATTAAATGCGGGTTCCAAAGATAGTAGAAGTTAACTTACTTATCCCGCTCCTCGCGATCCCGCTTCATCCTCTTGAGTTCGCGCAGCTTCCAGGCCTCGTACTCCACCTCTAATTTATCATTCTTTTCCTGAAACTGGGTGGCCAAGTGGACAGCCTGGGACAACTCGTGCTGCAGGGCATCAATCTTGGTGTGAGATTCGCTTCTGTCCGTCTCCAGCCGGTGGAGAGCATTACGAAGTTGCTGAACCTCGTAGTTGAGGCTCTGGGCTGTTTGCTCAGCTCCACTGAGGGCTGCATCCTTGGAACGATCTACCTCGATGGCCACTGATATGCGCTGCTGGTACTCCAACAGTTGGGATTGCAGGGTGTGAACAGTTTTCTCTAGATGCTGTCTCCTCAGTTGTTCCTCTTTCAGGGAAGGACTGCACAAGAGTTGGTTGGGAGAATTGTTGTCCAGGACAGTTCTCGACATGCTACTCTTGCCCCAGAGTTCACTCAGGCTGATAAGCTTGTTGTCGTTCAAGCTGTTGCGTGCGCCTCTCACTACTTCCTTCACTGAAGCAGCGCCGGAGGACGAGGAAGCCAGTCGCATGCTAGGCAAGGATGTGGCCGCCGGATGACCCTCTTGCACCACCCGCTCGTTCCGCAGATGGTCATCGCTATGGTGATGCAGGTGATGATCCTGCCTCTGCCAGCGATGTGCATTGTTGTCGTCCAGGTAGTGATCAATCTCCAGGAGTATGTTATCCTCTAAGGGTCGGTGGCGAAGAGGCTCCACAGATCCACTTTTTGGAGTGGAGTGCACCATGCCATGGAGCTCCCTGTTTGGCCGTCCTGCTGCATTTCTCACGGTATTCGTGGATATGGTGGATATATCCGATGGTGGCTCAAATCCTCGATCATCCTCCGCATCCAGTCCGATGTTCTGCAACCGTGCATTTATGTTATTGAGCTCCGATTTCTTGCTGGGATGCAGGAACTGGTACGCCGCACTTGTGGGCGCGGGGGGCGGGGGCATGGCCAGTGCATCGGCCGCTGCGCCTGCGCCTGAGCTCATCTTCACCTCCGAATAGTAATTGGGCGGTATGAGCAGCAACAGATCGGTGTCGTCCGTGTCCGTATCGCTCATTCCTCACGCATGTCGAGCCAGCTCGAGTCAAAACGCACCGGTTTGCAGTAAAATACGGATAACAGATGCAATTGGTTGGTTGCTATAGTGATAACACGACGCGTAAACATTGCAACAGGGCTGTCGAGTTTTGGTGATAATGCACGACTATCGTATACAAAAAATAAGATACATATCGAATACAGCGAGCCCTTAAGATATTTTTAAGAGTATACGACAATTTATTTTGGTTTTTAATATTAAGAGGCCATACTAAACAAATTTTATTTTATTACAGTTTTAATTAAGTATCAAATGTAACTATACTATATTTGCAAAACTACATTTCACTTCACTTAACCTTAGAAAGAAATTATTTTGTATAATTTTAAAACCGTTTTTTCTAATGTAACAAATAAATTCAGATTTACTATTTCTGTTTATACCGTTGCAATCAGCTACCATTTTAAAAATTATAATTTAACTTATAAACAATACGATTGTCTTTTTCAAGCATCTGACCAAATTTATAATACCCTCAGTAAGGGTATAACATACATTTCTTGTCAGTTTGCCGTGAGCTGACCACCATGATTCAATTATTTTGACATATCGGTTATCGATTGTCGCTTGGGCGCCCTGTAATCGATTAATGTGACCGTGAAAGGACTCTGTTAACCAGATTTTTTGTTTGAAGCAAGTGTTTTTCTATTAATTTTCCCGCCAGGGACGCTTCAGTATGGCATATGTAAGCTTGATTGTCTGCGGGTCACCGGCGGTACACCTGGAACCAGATATAATCTACAGGATTGGGCGGAAAAAGGGTCTGGAAATCAGCATCGCCGATGAGGTGAGCGACATAAGGCTTTAAATACACTTTAGGGCTTTAAATAACTCGCGCTTCAATTGCACAGTCCATGGAACTGGCCCATGCCACCGCCTGCATCCTCCGCCGCGGAGTTGTGCGCCTGGCCGCCATGGTTGGCAGTATATTCGTCAACGACCAGGAGAAGACTGTGGCGGACATCAGCAAGGCGGAAGCCTTCGACGGCACGGTTAAGCTCCGGTTTGGAAATGTGGAGGCCAGGCTGGAAATCAGAGACGAGAACGATGAGGTGAGCAGTGCACAAAACATCCATCCTAAACAAGGATCACATACTCCATTTAAACTAAATACAATGCTAATATATTTTTTCAGGCCCATGACAGCAGCGGATTTGGGGAATGCCCGAAAGACAGGTCAAACAACTCCACAATGGACAGCTTCAATATACCTGAAACGCAGCCTCCGTCCGCCAACACGTCAGCAAACACCTCGGCGGACAGCTTCTTTATACCTGAGACCCAGGCGGTTAACTTTGAAAGACCGTCGACCAGTGGAAAAGTGTCGCTGGGCGATGACTTTATGATACCTGAAACGCAGGATCTGCTGGCCGAACTTCCATCTGTGCAGTTCAATGATCCAGTGATTAACCACAAAGAGTTGAGTAATGATGCGGACTTCTCCCAGGGCAGCGAGATACGGATTTGCACTCAGGACTTCAACGAGGATGCCATCGATGACTTTGATTCATCGCAGATCCTTTGTGATGCTATGCTTGATCTGCCGCTACCAAGGCCAATAGAAACTTTGGAGAAAAAAGATAGTAAGCGGGGTAGGTACAGCCCTTGCAAACGGGAAACTTTCAATCCTAATTAAATACTTTGAATTATTTAGATCAACTAAATGCCACCGACTTGGAAATGAGTGCCTTGAATTGGTCAGCCAGCAATTCGAAATCCTGTGCCCTAAGTAGCACCGCAATCCTGCCAAGCGGTGATGCCTGCATAACTCCTGAACTGTCAGCTCCCTCCGAAGATCGTCCGATCTGCACCCCTGATCTTTTCGATTTGATCTTGGGCAATGAGCCGCGTTCAGGCTCCAATAGTCCAGATCCTTTCGTCCGTCCTTCAAACGTAGCAAATACCACCACACCACAGTTTGGTGGCGTTAAACAGCTGGTTGTGGCCACCATTGAGACTCCTACTGCAACTCCCGACAAAGAGGATGCAGCCAGCAGTCAAGAAATGAATCAAGATTCGATAGTCACTCAACGATTTCCGGAAAATAAATTGTTGGAAAGTGAGAGCGAAGACGAAGATGTACCGAATCAAGATTTTGTGGCAACCCAGGCTTTTAAATTGGGACGCCCCCAACAAGACAAAGTTCCTAATTCACCAAAAGATAACGAAACCAACCAAGACTTCATAGCTACTCAGGCGTTTAATTTTAGACGTCCACAACCACCCGACTCTCCTAAGGCACCGAAAGCTAATACGAATTGCAACCAAGATTTCATAGCCACTCAAGCGTTTCCCGCCAATATTAATAGCTCTAGGTGTCAGGACTTTATAGAAACACAACAATTTAATCCGGGTAATCAGAATTCCTTGAGTTTTGGTAACAAAGAAAATATTCCACACGACAACAATACCGAAAAAGCTGCAGGTAATAACAACAGTTAATATCTTGTATTACGGACATGACATTATCCTTTTCAGGTTCAAAATCCGTCGAGGAGCCTTGTGATGAAATAGATGCTGTGCTCAACGAAATGATTTCTGGGACAATCGTAACATCACCTGTAAATCCTAACGAAGAGCCGATAAAATTCTTTAAGCCGTGCGTGATTAAAGATAAGAATCACTTTCAAAAGGTAATTTTAAGATATCCTAGGTCCATTAGCTATAAAGAACAATATTCTACTTTAAAGGTTTGTCAAATCGAGGGGGTTTTCGGTGACATTAGTAACAAAAGACGGTGGCGCTCTGAGGGCACTAGAGATGGCAGTCGCAAACGCGTAGCCAGATCGGAATCTCCCCCGGAAACACGTATGTCCTTTATAACTTATAAATACATAAATCGGAGAAGTATTAAAAAACCATTTATTTCACAGCAAGCCGAAAAAATAGACGAACATCAGAGGGTTCTCAGGGATTGGAATATAACTTGAGAAAGCGGAGAGCAACTTCAGTGGATAAAAAATCAGAACGTAAGTGGTTGGAGAATCCATGAAATCTATACTTATGTAAAAATTTCCAGCTCTCAACAAATTTATTTGCAAAGAACATGATGTATCCCCGCATACAGAAGAAAAAGATAAGGATGATAAAATAAACTCTCCTTTCAAAGTGATGGCCAATAAATGGCAAGCACGTAGAAGTATAATAAATAACCGATCCGGTACTCCAGGAAACTCTTTAGAAACGAATAAAGTTGAAGATGAGATGCAGGCTAAATCTAAAGATGAGCTATCCGCAACCCCGTCCATTCAAGAGCCTTCATCTAGCGGTGCCAATGCCAAGGAACCATCTGTTCGTGCACCAAGAGCAACTCGTGCTACAAAGTCGCGATCCACAACACCTTCTGTCGATGATCTATTGCCGTCCATTGAAGAGCCTTCACCAAGCGGTGCCAATGCCAAGGGACCAGAGGTTCGTGCACCTAGAGCAACTCGTGCTACAAAGTCGCGATCCACAACACCATCTATCGATGAGCTATTGCCTTGTTCCGCCAGTGACAAAAAGCCCAAAATTGTAACTGCCAAAAAAGAAACTCGAAAGCCCGGTAGAAAAACCAAGGTCGTGGAGACAAACAAGGCAGACACATGCAATGATATTCCCAGGCCAATAACCAAAACTAGGCGCAATACTAGCCAAGTAGATGATGCACTTTCAGAGAAGGAAAGAAAGGTTGAAAGTGCGGATGTTGAAGTTGTTGAGACTCCTGATGCAGAAAAACCTGTGAAGTCAAAAAGAGGAAGAAAGGCCAAGAACCTGGAGACCAGTAAAGAAGGCACATCCAAAGAAATGGCGAAGCCAATGTCTACAACTAGGCGCCAGACTAGCGAAGAAGAAGTTAAGAAGCCTAATGCAGGAGGAGGAACAGAGGCCGAAAACGCCGAGACCAATATTGCCAATTCATCTTATGATACTCCAAAGCCCATGACCAAAACCAGGCGCAAAGCTAGCGTGGAAGATGTTGAGGACCCTAAGGCAGAAAAACCTGTCAAATCGGAAAAAGGAAGAAAGGCCAGGAATGTTGAGGCAAATAGGGCGGACACATCCAAAGATATGCCAAAAGTGATGACCAGAAACAGGCGCAAAACGATCGTCGAAGATGCTGAAACGATGAACGATGAAAAACCAATGGAGACTTCATTAAAACGTGTAGTTGTCCGTATACCCAGAGCAAGTGTTGACAAAATAGAGACTTCCTCAACCTCTGGGACTAGTTCCAGGGTGACTAGTGCAGCCAAGTCGCCTTCCATTGAAGAACCATTATCTAGCGTTGCTAATTCCAAGGTCCGTGGACCCAAGTTGGGTTCTGCAACGCCGTCCATTGAAGAGCCTTCATCTAGCGGCCATCAACCAGCTCTACCAATATTTTGGTATTGGTAGAGCTGGTTGATGGCTTTTAAATTGTTGGAAAGTGAGAGCGAAGACGAAGATGTACCGAATCAAGATTTTGTGGCAACCCAGGCTTTTAAATTGGGACGCCCCCAACAAGACAAAGTTCCTAATTCACCAAAAGATAACGAAACCAACCAAGACTTCATAGCTACTCAGGCGTTTAATTTTAGACGTCCACAACCACCCGACTCTCCTAAGGCACCGAAAGCTAATACGAATTGCAACCAAGATTTCATAGCCACTCAAGCGTTTCCCGCCAATATTAATAGCTCTAGGTGTCAGGACTTTATAGAAACACAACAATTTAATCCGGGTAATCAGAATTCCTTGAGTTTTGGTAACAAAGAAAATATTCCACACGACAACAATACCGAAAAAGCTGCAGGTAATAACAACAGTTAATATCTTGTATTACGGACATGACATTATCCTTTTCAGGTTCAAAATCCGTCGAGGAGCCTTGTGATGAAATAGATGCTATGCTCAACGAAATGATTTCTGGGACAATCGTAACATCACCTGTAAATCCTAACGAAGAGCCGATAAAATTCTTTAAGCCGTGCGTGATTAAAGATAAGAATCACTTTCAAAAGGTAATTTTAAGATATCCTAGGTCCATTAGCTATAAAGAACAATATTCTACTTTAAAGGTTTGTCAAATCGAGGGGGTTTTCGGTGACATTAGTAACAAAAGACGGTGGCGCTCTGAGGGCACTAGAGATGGCAGTCGCAAACGCGTAGCCAGATCGGAATCTCCCCCGGAAACACGTATGTCCTTTATAACTTATAAATACATAAATCGGAGAAGTATTAAAAAACCATTTATTTCACAGCAAGCCGAAAAAATAGACGAACATCAGAGGGTTCTCAGGTTTTGGTATTGGTAGAGCTGGTTGATGGCTTTTCAATGGCTGCTTCAGTTTTGAGCTTTTTGTCACTGGCGTCATCGACGGACGGTGTCGCGGATCGCGACTTTGTAGAACGATTTGCTCTTGGTGCACGAACAGCTGGCCCCTTGGCTTTCGTACCGCTAGATGAAGGCTCTTCAATGGACGGCGTTGCAGAACCCAACTTGGGTCCACGGACCTTGGAATTAGCAACGCTAGATAATGGTTCTTCAATGGAAGGCGACTTGGCTGCACTAGTCACCCTGGAACTAGTCCCAGAGGTTGAGGAAGTCTCTATTTTGTCAACACTTGCTCTGGGTATACGGACAACTACACGTTTTAATGAAGTCTCCATTGGTTTTTCATCGTTCATCGTTTCAGCATCTTCGACGATCGTTTTGCGCCTGTTTCTGGTCATCACTTTTGGCATATCTTTGGATGTGTCCGCCCTATTTGCCTCAACATTCCTGGCCTTTCTTCCTTTTTCCGATTTGACAGGTTTTTCTGCCTTAGGGTCCTCAACATCTTCCACGCTAGCTTTGCGCCTGGTTTTGGTCATGGGCTTTGGATTATCATAAGATGAATTGGCAATATTGGTCTCGGCGTTTTCGGCCTCTGTTCCTCCTCCTGCATTAGGCTTCTTAACTTCTTCTTCGCTAGTCTGGCGCCTAGTTGTAGACATTGGCTTCGCCATTTCTTTGGATGTGCCTTCTTTACTGGTCTCCAGGTTCTTGGCCTTTCTTCCTCTTTTTGACTTCACAGGTTTTTCTGCATCAGGAGTCTCAACAACTTCAACATCCGCACTTTCAACCTTTCTTTCCTTCTCTGAAAGTGCATCATCTACTTGGCTAGTATTGCGCCTAGTTTTGGTTATTGGCCTGGGAATATCATTGCATGTGTCTGCCTTGTTTGTCTCCACGACCTTGGTTTTTCTACCGGGCTTTCGAGTTTCTTTTTTGGCAGTTACAATTTTGGGTCTTAGCCTTTTTGGTATTGGTAGAGCTGGTTGATGGCTTTTCAATGGCTGCTTCAGTTTTGAGCTTTTTGTCACTGGCGTCATCGACGGACAGATCAGGCGCGAGTAAGTTATATTCTTATTGGTTTTGTATTGCCAAATTTAACAATCTTACATTGCAGCCACTACGAGATTCAGCCAGCCAGATCCGGATTCACTTAAAGGTACTTGCGCTCACCAAGAAATTTAAAATCTTTCTAACTTGTAATATATTGTTTCCGTTAGCATTTAATCAATATGTGAGAAAGGCCAAAACGGATGGAAAAATTAAGATAGCATTCAATCTGTCTTAAAATCTTTGAAACATGTGGTGGAAATCACCGAAGATCCCGTCCAGTGCGACCTTCTCATCATGGACAAAGGCGAGCGGACCTACAAATTCCTCATAGCCATCGCTTCCAATAAACCCGTTCTCTCCACCAATTGGCTGCATTCCGTCAAGAAGACCAGGACCATCGAAGTAAAAGCAGATCATATTTTTAGTGATGCCAAGTTCGAGGAGACCATGAAGTTTAAGCCCTTGTCTGTACTGCAGCACACTCGTTTGCTAAGTGGTTTGCACTTTATGCTCGGTGAAGACATCATTCCAAAGCCCATCGAATTGAAAGGCAAGTCTTTCTGAGTATAATTTCTACCAATTTGTTGTGTAACTCTTTTTAATCTCCCCCAGTCATAATTCAAAGTGCCGGCGGAAAGGTGCTCACCCAACCGCCCTCGCTGGCCTTCAGTGTGGAGCTGTACGTGGTCACCACCAGCAAGGACCAAAAATTCCATCGACGCCTGCGGAACCACGAAAAAGTACATTTCATCAAAACCGAGGGCGTTATGCAGGCGCTTGTACGGCACAATGCGGAACTCCTGAACGAGCACAAGCTCAAAGTTTAAATGCCATATTTTGACATTGATCCTAACTTTTTCCTGCCAAACTTCGGAGCCGTTCCTGATTACCTACGAAAAAAAGCACATCACTAACAATGTCCCAGACTAGCATACTATCAAGCTTTAACTTTAGGTTTTTGTTTCATATTTAATTTTTTGTTTCATGTTGGGGCTAACTTAATTGTGGCCATACAATTTGAGTTGTACAAATGGTTGCCTTCATATGGCCCGTCAAATATATCCATACGATTATGCTTAAAATTGTGGGTCTACGTAAAACTACTCCATCTTTTTTCGCTTCGAGCCCGTGGGCTTGTCGAACTGCTGCCTCATGCCGCCGCCGCGTTCGTTGTGGAACTTGATGTTGCTGGAGGATTCGGCGTACCAGGGCGAGTCAAACTTGGTGGTGTCCTGGTCTACTAAATGCGTGTATTTGGTGCGCCCGCAACGGCCGAAGTTCTTCACCTGCATCACCTTAGGCAGGATGGTCTTGTCGAAGTGATCCTCTAGCGTGGCCTGGGCAAAGTCGCGCTTCAGCACATCGTTCTCCTCGTCCAAGTAGAAGGCGCCGCGGTGGTAGTACTTCTGCAGGAACTTGTACTTGCCCTTGGTGGCCTTGTTGGTGACCAGCTTGGGGTTCTGGCGCAGTTCCTGTCGTCGCTCCTCCTCGGTCATGTTACGCATGCGATCGATGTCCAGCTTTTCGCGTTCGTTGCTGTAAGATAGGGGAAGAATTAAATGCGGGTTCCAAAGATAGTAGAAGTTAACTTACTTATCCCGCTCCTCGCGATCCCGCTTCATCCTCTTGAGTTCGCGCAGCTTCCAGGCCTCGTACTCCACCTCGTCGTTCTCGTCATCCGTGCACACATCCTCGATACAGGCCTCGTTGCTCTCCGGCTTGGTCTTTTCCAGGTCTTTTTTGACACTTTCCTCGACCATTCGTAGGGTGGCTCTTCTTCGCTCTTTGGCCGCCCGTTTGGCCTCCGCCTCTAGCTGCTTTTGCTTTTGAGCTTCCCGCTCCTTCTCTTGGATGGTGGCGCGATCCCTTTTTCGGACGAATAGCGGTTTTAGGCGGGGTTCGTTGTCCTCCTCACTTTCAGTCTCCTCTTCATACTCGGAGCTTTCTGATTCGGAGGATTCTGTCTGCTTTTCATCCTCTTTCTGGAGAACCTCCTCTTCGCGTTGTTGCTGCAGCATACGGGATCTAAGCTTGGTGCGCCTGTTCTCCAGTTCCGTGTCGCTGAGCTCGGCATCCGTATCCGATTCGGAGGCCAGTGTGATCTTGTTGGTGCCTCGCTCGATGGTTCCCTGTGGCTCTTCGTCCAACTCCTCGTCCTCACTGTCGCTCTCCATGATTTCGGGCTCATGAATGTGTCGGTGGCGTTCCCTACGTTCCCGTTCCATGTCCTCCATGTCCACGGGCCTTTGGCGGAGTCTCCGGAGGCGGGGATCGTCCACCTCGGCTTCGTCCTCGTCTTGGGCTTCTCCTCCTTTCTTCCCCTCGCCGTCCACGCTGCCTCCTCGCCGTGAAAGCTCCATTTTGTGGCGCTCCGCCTTGTGGCGCTCCAAGCGCTTCCTGGTGTCAATGAAGTCATCTTCATCGCTCTCCTCCGAACTGGAGTCCGCTCTGGCGTAGTCGGGTCGCTTTCCGGATATGTACCGCTGCACCTTTACCTTTTGCATGGACAATTCGCCTGTAAAATGGTTATAAACAATAACAATAGGTTTATGTTTGGCAAATCTTAAATTATCTAGTTTACCCTTCTCATTGCGCATGGGAATGGCGCCCGCGGTACTCTGAATCCCCGCGGCGGCAGCGGCAGCACTCATTTTAGCTCAAGTTTAAGAAACAACGTTTAAAATAACAAATTTACAATTATTTTTACTAAAATGTTTCGATAACTACAAGAGTTAATGATAAAAATCGATTAGCTGCCTATCATAATCGATGTCGGTGTGATTACACGAAATAGTCTGGCAACTCTACTAAAGTAAGGTGGCAACGTTAGTGAGGCAGGCGGTAAAATTGAAATGTATTTCTGAAACGGTTTTTGTTTTTATTTCTTTCCGCTGCCGTAAAGTGCCTCTTATTTTTTTAAGACAAAAATGACGGAAGTGCGATGACTTGGCTGTGTCCAAATTAGAGGAACCGTCTAATTGAGACATTCAATTAACTATATAAAAACCCAGTGCTTCTGTCTATCTTTACAGAGAGAAATATTGAGAAATATTGTTCTCTTTGAAGTGTATCCTTTAACAATTTATATTTTTAATTTAATAGTTTTGCTTATCATTGTTTATCATTTTAAATTAAGATGTTCTCTGAATTTCTAACATATTTTTAAAGATAAAACCAATTATTTTTCAGTGCCTGCAAAAAATGCAATAAATTCTAGCAATGTCAACGCCCACTCTCATTAGTACATTAATTGACTACTACGCTTTCTCCCATTCATTTAATAAATATGGATGGGTGGTCGGTCGTCTCCAGTCGATGATCTTGTGTAATGCCGGAATCGCTTTAAGTACTTTCAAAAATTCTTTTTATTGATATACGCAATATACGCAATAATTTCCGTTTCGACAGCACGCAGTCAGCACGTGTGGAGATCGTCGTCTGTAAATGTCTTGTAAATGTTTTGAAAACGTTCTGATTCTATGTGATAGCGACCCAACCCGACCAAAGTCCGAAAGAACAAGTTGAAGAAACAAGAGGCTCGACCAGTTTTGTGACGTCTCCGACCACTTGCATCCGAGAAAACAGAGTTATGGATTTGTTATAAGATCGTTTCGGGCCTAAACACCGAGTCGCATTTGCCGAACTGCTTTTAACTGCTTTTCGTCGGCTAGAGTAGTTGAATGGCCAAGATTTACATGAGACTGTTAGTTAACGACATGGAGGGAATATTTAATTAATGCAACACGCTTCATGCTTAAATGCATATCTGCCCAGATAACTTACTGACCTTAGACCAAGTCGTTGATTTGGAGACTTTCCGCTTTTGGGGGAAGTACCTGCCCAGAAATTCGACACATTAGTATTCGGTGATCTTTTTTGGGCACATGAGACCCTTCCACGTGAGTTTTCCATTTCTTCGGCCTCAATGTAAATTTATTGTGATTGAAACTCTTTTTGAACTGGCCGGCACCGTTTCAATTCAAATTTAAATTCCTAATACATTTCAATTAAAATTAAACACCCACACTGGCGCACAAGAATTGTAAACAAATAATTTTCTATTAGCGGGAGAAAGAGTGTCATGCCTGATCAAAATCGTACCAGATCGAACTCGTTATCGTTATCCAAGTAAGACATAACATAACCAGCGGCAATTGAGGCGAGGCGACAAATATACGAAAAACGAAAGATAAAATCGTTTTCATTATTAATTGGCGCACTTTTTCCTTTGTGACTCGAGCTCGAGTTACTTAAAAAGTAATAAAGGGTGAGCCAAATGGAAATATTTACACATCACGCAGACCAAAACTGGCTAAGAACCATCAATTAAACTTTTGTGTTTTGTTTACAACGCATTTCATTTAGCTCTACTTTGTCGCCCGGCCAATTAATGATCGAGATCGAGGATCTGCAAATGAGTTGGAAAATACCGGATATTTTCCAACTTTCTCTGCGGGGAGTTCTCGAGAATTGGAATGATTCTTCGTATATGAATCAGAACGTTGCAATTCTGAAATTAATTGCCAGCAAGTCACTTGAGGCTCTTTTTTAGGAGGGTTTGGCAAACATATTTTCATCAAATTTAGATCCCTGCATCAAATCCGGAATTTATTGTGTTCGGATTACTTAACAACGTGAGCGTTGCTTTAATTAAATGTCAAGTTGTGCAAAAAGGGGACTGGATAAATATTGCTTGTGTTTGATTTATACAACAAATATATATTATATAACAAAATTCTGCACCAAAGCAACTGGACAATTTGTTTTCAAATTGAAAAAGCAGATCAAATTTTTTATTTAAGAAAATTTTAAGAAGTAGTTTAATGACAACACATATTATTTTCGATATTTCTTGATATGTTTTGTAATTTTGTATATAGCGATGTAATAACTATGAACTAAATATTATTAGAAAAATATTTTCAATAATTTAATATTAATAAAAAATGTCTACTTAAATACAAATAGTTATAATCTACTTTTCTAAGCCACTTGATGAGGTAATAAAGCAAAGAGTGTTTATATCTTCGGATAATTATTGTACCTAATGCTTAGCATTTTTAAGCAAATGTTTAATATTTTTAGTCCAGATCAAACGTTTAAAATAAGTTGCCTATATTTAAGCACTCCACTCGACTATTGGCTATCACTTGTGGTTTTCTCTCTTCACGAAAATCGGAGATCGCGTATCCGGCGTCGTTTTTTCAACTTTCAGCTCTTAGTTCGATTTTCGCTCTTTCCTCGCTTTTCAAGACCCCGAAGAGCGATCTCGATATGTGGGGTTCCCGAAGCTGGGAGCCCGAGATCTGTGATCTGTGATTTGCCTGCGCCGCCTTGGGTGCTGTATAAAATAGCGTAACGGCCGCTTGCAAAACTCATTCATTTCAAAATTGTCAATACGTTCGAACAGAGATATACGAGCTGGAAAACCAAGGAAATAGAAAGTGCTTAAAGTGAAATAAAAAAACAGAAAGGACAAGTTCTTAAAAGGACCACTCAAAAGGATTATAATTTATTGTGATACATTTGTTTTGTGAAAAAAATAAAAAACAAGTTAATGAAATACAGAAATAATCGTGGCACAATATTGCAAATTCAATTCAGAACATTTCTAAGTTTCGGATTTCCATGCTTAATTTTATTTGAGAGTTAAACAAATACGACAGCCGAAGGATTTTGAACTTAACGAATCGGAAAATAATTAATCAAGGTGAGGAAATAATCAGTTTTTCAGTGAAAGCAGGTTGAGTGTTTAATTGTGAATATGCAAATGAGTTATTTTGATGCTTTTTATACTAGTTGCCATTGATGAATAGCCTCAGAATGTAAACACCCAAGACACTTTAATTTATAGGTGGCTAATAATTTAAACTAGAATTGAAAACAACTGCAACTAAGAGATATTTTTTTTAATGACTTATGACCAAGTTGAGTAAAAAACGTAATGAGAACGAAAGCAAAACAGTTTGTGGAAATGCATAAAGCTGAACTCCCATTGGGAATATATTACGGAATTATTAAGTTAAGTGTTTGACTCTTTTTTGCTGAGTATTCCCTTTGTTATTAGGTAATATTTGCAGTTGTCGAGGCTGGGGAAAATTGCTCTGATTGATCTGAGGCAACGACAAGTGCTTACCCACTTTGCGATCTGTATCTTCTGCCAACAGTCTGCGCCTCAAATCATGTCAAATGGTTTATTTTGTTTAAATTAATAATAAAATAGAAGGGGTTCTCCGGGCAAGATAAGAACGCCAAGAAATGCAAAACAAAACACGCATATTAATTGGCCACCAAGATGATGATGATGCCATTGAATGGGAACGAAGGGCTTTCGGAATGGGTTGGGGGAAAAGTCCACCAATTAAGCCAGACGGCTGCCTTCAACCAGAACTCAGAACTCAGAACTCATACGACCCGTGTGTTCTTCCACCAAGAAAAACTAGTTTCACCCAAACTTCCCCTGGCCAACAAAATTTAAATATTACTTAAGAGGTGATAAGAATAATATAGTAAAATGAAGTGTGTGGTTTTTAAAGGTAGGTATTTTGTCTTCTTAATAATTGTAAAAAATGATAAAACGGAAATATCTGATTAGATAAGATAAACATATTTTTGGAATAATCAGTTGTTTAAATTCATTTGTTTACATATATTTTTTAACGATCTAGCAATTGCTTGGAGTAAACCTAAAAAATATATGTATAAAATCCCAAAAAATATATTTTATTTATTTATTTAATTTTCATCTATAAGATACAAAAAATGCAAAAATTAAGCTTACATAATTGTAAAAGGTTATCATTGAATCCAGTATTTTTTAAGCCGAAAAAGTCTTCCTATTTGGAAGTACTTTTTCCCATAAATTATACAAAAGTACATTACTTTTCTCTCTGTGTAGGAGGCCATTTGGACCATACTTCTCTTTTTGCTGGGCTTTTTGCTCTTCGTTTCTGGCCTTGCCTTCGCCAAGTGTGAGTCTGCTGCTCTTTGGAGCTTCCCGAGCGATGGCGATTTTCTGGCCCAAACCGGCGCAATCCGGCTCATTCCAATGGCCACCGATCTTAACCAGTTTAATTCGCTAAAAATCTTCATTGGCTCGCCTGCATTCCCCCCTTTTCCTCAAACTTTGTAGCCCTGTTTGTGTGTGTCCATGTCACACAGGAGCAGCTTTTCCTTAATAGTTTGATTGGTCGGAAAAGTGGGAGGGGCGGCCTAAGGAGGCGCCAGAGCTTCTAGTTTCATCAAAAATAATTGTCGAGTGTTTGGGATCAATTGAATGGGAAGTGATTGCCATCGTTTATCAGTTGCAAAATGTGTATTTTATGATTTAACAATTAAGAAACGACACAGGAATGTGTAATAAATTTGAGTTACACAAAGATGTGTAATCACATAAATCATGTAATCACAGGATACTCTTAAATATATTAGAGGTTTGCTACAATAAAGAGTGTGACTTCAAATAATTTTACTTACGTTTTCCTATTTTATTATAGATACAAAAGTTAGGAACGGAAAATAAAAATATAATTTGTTTAATTTTAAGCAGCTTAAAGATAACAGATTTAACTTTTCCTACGAAAGTAAAACGTTCGCGAAACGAATTATATTTTTAGTACCTAATAAAACAAGTACAAAAATAAAATTTAAAAAACCTAGACATTATGCTAGAAACCTTACCAAATTCCCAACTTTTAACAACATTTATGCAAATTTTTTTTGGCCAGAAACAACCAGTTTGAGCGGCTCGAAAACCAGTTAAAAGCAGCTTTCAGCTGGGCTAATCTTTGCCCATCCATTTGTAACTCTTACAGAGCGATAACTCTGGATTCCATTTCGAAGAAGAAATAAATATCTCCAAAAAGCTTTGCCTTGTCTGCCGCCCAATGAAGAAAACATATTAATCATAAAACAATTACGCTCAAATGGAATTGTTTGTGTAAGGAAATAATATATTTGTACTTGAACATGGGGCGCTGGATGAAATGACCAATGGCCAGTGGCCGATGGCCTCCCCTCCTCCAGATCGTTCGGTTAATTAATTAATGGGCTCCCAAGATGACACCAAAACTGACACCCACTTTGTCGTGCCGCCTCGGTGCAAATTCTCTTCGCGAACCTTGATCTTGCAATGTGATCTAAGTCCAAATCGTTTCCGATCTTTGCTCGTTTCAGTTTGCACACACATCGCCGGGTGGAAAGTCGGCTGGGGAAAGTCTTCTCCCGGAAAATCTTCTTCATCCTTTCATCCTTCATCCTTTTTGTATACGGATCCAGGATGTTCGCCACTCAGGATACCATTTTGAAGTTGCTGACTTTGTGCGCCCTGGCACATTCTATAACCGCCTTGGCTCTGCAGGAAAAGTCCCAGGCACCGGGATCTGCTCCTTTGGATCCCAGTCACAAGTATTTGATAGTGCGCGGGGAATCCCCGAGTGGATCCTCGGGATCGCAGGAGCATGTGGAGTTCGACAATGCCGCCACCTTGCTACTGAGAGCCTTTAAAAGCCAACAGATTCCCGCTCCAAAGGATTCGGAGGAGTGCAGTGCTCCCAGTCACAAGGCCACCTTTTCGGGCTACGACTATGTGATCCTTCTGGGCATGCTGGTCATCTCGTTGGGCATCGGCATCTTCTATGGCTTCTTCCAGAAGGGCGGCAGCTCTTCCAACGAGTTCCTGCTGGGCTCCGAGATGAACATCTTCCCGGTGACCCTCAGTCTGACGACCAGTTTCATTACGGCCATTGAACTGCTGGGCAATCCCTCCGAGATGTACTTCCAAGGCACTCAGTTCGTGCTCATCGTAATCCCCATGGTGATGGTCATCCCGGTGGCCGTGAAGATCTTCTATCCCATATACTTCAAAATGGAGCTCACCAGTTGCTATGAGTATCTGGGTATTCGGTTTGGCAAGGAAATCAGGATACTAGGTGCAGTACTCTACGTTATTCAGGTGGGTTAAGGATAATTCTCAGTCCAGGAGGAATTGGTTATATCTTGAATTATATTCCCAGATGTGCTTCTATACGGCCGTGGCTGTGTTGGCTCCGGCGATTGCACTTTCCAAGGCTACGGGCTTGGACACCAAGATCGCCGTGGTCCTGATCTATGTGGTCTGTGTTTTTTACTCATCTCAGGGCGGCATGAAGGCCGTGGTCATTGCGGATTCATTCCAGGTGAGTTCGGTGCTTGGAAGACCCTTTCAGCTATTTTATTTAATTTTCTATTACCCATTCAGGCTGCTGTTCTGGCTGTATCCTTGGTGCTGATCGTGGGTTTGGGCAGCTTCTATAGCGGCAATCCCATCCAGGTGTTTCAGACTGCTGCCGAACACAATCGCTTGGAGTTTTTCAAGTGAGTTAAATCTAAATATTAGAAGGTCCTTATTAATTCATATAAATCCTTTAGTATGGATCCCAGTCCCACGACGCGTCACACCGTTTGGTCGGTGGTTATTGGTGGCTTCTTCTACTGGACATCCTTGTTTTGCACCAATCAGGCATCCGTTCAGAAGTGCATGTCCTTGAAGTCCTTGAGGCTAGCAAAGATTGCTCTGGGCTTTGCCATCATTGGTTTGATTGCAGTCTTCCTGCTGAATTTCTACACGGGTCTGATGGTCTTCACCCACTATGCGGATTGCGATCCTTTGACAGCGGGACGAATTTCAGCCACTGATCAGTTGTTGCCCTACTATGTGATTAATACCTATGAGCACATCTACTCCGTGGCAGGAATCTTTGTGGCGGGCATCTTTGCAGCCAGTTTGGGGTGGGTTATTGACTTAATGGGAATTCCAGGAGTTCATTTTAATAACATTTTCTTTATCCCAAACAGAACTGTGGCCTCTGCCTTGAACTCCCTATCCGCTGTGACCTGCGAGGACCTCTTGGTCAATGGCATGAACATCAAAATCTCCCCCGAAAAGGGAGCCACCTATGCCAAGTGGATGTCCTTGGGCTTTGGAATCGCCTCCTTTGGCTTGGTTTTCATCGTGGAGCATTTGGGAGGAGTCCTGCAGGCCACTTTGACCTTAAACGGATTGATTGGTGGAGTAACCTTGGGTCTTTTTGTCCTGGGAATCGCCTGCAAACAGGCTAATACCAAGGGTGCTTTCTACGGAGGCTTATTGTCCCTAGCCCTCGTAATTTTTGTGGGCGTGGTGGCTCAGATTGCCAGTGTGGAACAGCCTGCCTTGCCCACATCCCTCGACCACTGCGATTGCCTTGTGAACTTGACGAGCATCACTCAAAATATACTCTTAGAACCTATGAAAATCATTGAGAAGGGCGGATTCACGTGAGTTAATCTTTACAAAATATTCCACAATATTTATATATTAGGAAAATATTACATTATTTAAGATCTTTAAAAAGCAATCGCCAAATATTTTTGTGAGTTCAACATTTTCCGAAATTCCTGCCTTATAAAAGTAATTTAGAATATCACAAAAAGAATTATTTTTTGTTTTAGTCCAAAATTCCTTGAGATCAAACTTTTATTTTGTTCAAGTCAATAGATTTTGTTCAATAAAAGACATATATTTAATAACCATTATTCATGATTTTCAATTACAGATCGTGGCCCATTTTCCGGCTGAGCTATATGTGGTTCAGCATGATCGGCTGCCTGCTCACCGTTTTCCTGGGTTGGCTGATTTCCCTTATAATTGACTTTGTCCAGCGACGAAATGTGCTGAAGATCACCGGCAAGGGCATCGACAATCCCGCCGTTTCCGAGGAGATCTTCAAGAGCGACTCCCAGGTGCAGTACACCACCACAAGCAGTGGGACGACCACCACGGCGGTGGACACCGATCCCCGAGAGACTTCGAGTGCCGAGGGCCATGTGAACCATGCCATTCGCATCGACGACGAATAGAAATCGAATTGAGAACTCGAATCCGGCCGGGGATCATGTCGAATCCCACCGGTGTATTCCTTGTGTAACCTGTAACCTCCATGTACAAAGACCAGTCGCAATCTGTTAACTGTCCTAGTTTAGTCGAAAGAGTGATTTCTAGTTCGTAAGTCCAAGCCGAGGTTGTTGGCTCAGTATTCTGTATACACACACACTTACTAATGTTACTACGAATGAATTTTATTTTTAGTTTGTTTTAAGGCATCTTACAAATAAAACCTATATATTCCTGATCAGCATTTGTTGCTGAAATGTCAAGTAAAGTTTGGATTATTAAGGGTAGTTCTGTTTAGATACATGTAAATGTTTTTTATTGATCTCTAATAATCTATAGTATAGGTCCTCGCTGCACAAAACAGTCATTCTTTTGGCTGTGAACAGTGTTTTACAAGTTTAACACGCCAAAAACTCAAAATCCCGCAAAAAAGTATATTTTTTCTCTGTTTTTTGATCAAAACCCTTAGAAATAATGTTCATATGTTGGAATGTCATACCTCGTTGAATTCGTTATAAAAATTCCAATCGATTGGTATGCTCAGCTCAAAAATTTTATTTTGGCCCAATTTTGGCAAAAAATCAAACCCCTTATCAAAAATGCGAAATTCGGTCAAAAAATAAAATTTACCAAATCCACCTGGAATCGATTGTGTAGGTTGACAGCTGCACAAAACAGTCATTCTTCTCGCTGTGCGTCTTATTTTGGCAAAGTTACGTCAAAAAAACACCTAAAAAATGTGTTTTAAATGTCCAAAATCAAGAAAAAAACAGATCGATTTTTCAGTTTTTTAATCAAAACTCTTGGAAATAATGGCCAGATCTTGGAATGTCATACCTCGTTGAATTCGTTACAAAAATTCCTATCCAATGGTATTCTCAGCTAAAAACTTTTATTTTGGCCCAATTTTGGCAAAAAACCCCTTATGAAAAATGCTGAAATTGCTCAAAAAATAAATTTCACCAAATCAAACTGGATTTGATTGTATAGGTTCCCAGCCTCACAAAACAGTCATTCTTTTGGCTGCGAGGCCCATTTTGGCAAAATTACAACAAAAAACGCTGAAAAAATGTGTCTTAAATATATGATTTTGATGGCCTAAATCCAGAAAAAAACAGCTCGATTTTTCTGTTTTTTAAACAAAACCCTTGGAAATAATTGTCAGATCTTGGAATGTCATACCTCGCTAAATTCGTTACAAAATTTCCAATCGATTGATATTCTCAGCTCAAAAATTTTATTGTGGCCCAATTTTGGCAAAAAATCAAGTGTTACCCCTTATCAAAAATACGAAAATCAGTAAAAAAAATTTTTTTTTCAACTCAACTTGGAATGGATAGTTTAGGTTTTCAGTTGCACAAAACAGTCATTCTTTTAGCTGTGCGCCTTATTTTGGCCAAATTAAACAGAAACAACAGCAAGGACGTAAAATCAAGTATTTTGTCCATAATATTTATTTTCCTATTTTCACTCTATTTCACTAAAGGTCAATATATTTCCACATATTTTTTTCAAAAAGTTTGTATATCCTGCTAAAGTATTTAGACCTCTCCAAATATTCAAAACATTCTTCTTCCCCATTAATAAATAAACAACGATTTCCATAAATTTTCAAAGAAGTTTATTTCGCTTGGGAATTTAAATTCGAAAAAATATTATACACATATTAAATACAATAATTTGAATGCATCAATAAATTTACAATTAAAACATATATGTACACGGCCTGCTGCAGTTCTGTTCGCAGTCACAGGAGCAGTCACAGGTGCAGTCACGAATCACGTCACGCTGATCTCCTCGTCACTATCGGAATTGGAGTCGTCGTAGTCATCATAGTAGAGCTTCATGAACTCGGAGCTCTGTTGCTGCTGTTGATGTTGCTGCTGTTGATGTTGCTGTTGCTGTTGCTGCTGCTGCTGTTGCTGCTGGTGATGGTGATGCAGTTGCGCAGCTGCAGCGGCGGCGGCCAGTTCCACCTCCCTCATGGCACTGAAATGCGGGGAATGATGCAGCTGCTGCTGCAGTTGCTCGAACCGCCGCTGTTTGGCCTCCTGGATGCTGTTTTCCAGCTTGAACTTGAGATCGGCGGCAACCAGTTGCTTCTGCATCTCGGCATTGATCTTGGCCTGGAACTCGGCGGCACTGGAGGCAGTGACTCCGGGTGGCGAGGAGGCGGCGGATGAAACCGTGGTGCCGCCTTGCCCCTGAGTGGGCGTGGCCGCCGCCGATTGATCGCCCATTTTGAGGCTGGTGAGGAGTGGAGGCGGTGAGCTGATCTGCAGGCCATAGCCAATCGAAGGAGAACTTCTGCTGCTGGCGGATTGCGGTGACTTGGGAGTGACTGGCGCTGCGGGCGGTTCATCCTTGGCCACCGCTCCGGGAGGGGGCGTGGCACTGCCATTGGGGGACAGCAGGGAGGGTGAAAGAGGCGTCAGGGGACGATCGCACTTGGCATCGCTCAAGTCCGGATTGGGGTTGTTCTTGTTGGGCAGCGTCTGGTCACGGGAACCACCGCTGGCGAGGAGCTCCCGCTCCTTGGAGTTCCGCCACTTCATCCGCCGGTTCTGAAACCATATTTTCACCTGCAAATGAAAGGGATAATGGGTTAAGAAAAAAGTCGGTTCTCATTGAAATGGGTAAATTGAGACTGTCCAGTAGATGGAAAGCTGTCCGAAGCAGGAAGTTAGACAGAGACATTGGGGTATAGTTATAGAACTTTTCATGGCCAACGGGGCGTATGCGTGGTGTGGGTATCAAATACCGCTTTTGGGGAAAACAAACTTTGGCCGGCTTTCCGACAAAAACTTTTCTGTGGCAAATTGAATTTCGCATAGACCCATCCCAGATTCGCCCATTAACCACCCGATTTGGGGGCGGGTCGTGTGTGTGGGCGTGGCCATGGACCGGGCACAAGCAGAACTTCGAACTGCACTGCCATCGCCAGACGCCGGGCATATCCATAATAAATGCAAATTAGAGACATTTACCCAAAGCGGCTACAAATTGATTAGAGGCCGCACAGTGGGACAAACATATGTATAATTAATGCGAAATTATAGATGTTAAAAGATATTTTACATATTTACAGAGTGCTTTAAAAAAATGAATTTCGAATGTATTTTAAAAGAAAAATGTTGTTTTAAGACATTTTTTTTGTTTAAGAACTATAAAAATATAGATTATTTAAACTCAATTGAATATTGTTTAATTCGAGATACCAAAACAACTTCTAGATTTAATTAATAATCATGTTCAATCAAACTTAAAAGTTTTTCGAATTATTGTTCAACTAAAAATTGCACAGCTTTTTCTGAACACATTTTACATCAATTTAATTTCACTCCTGTTTATTTTTTTGGACTCCCCAATTTAACTAGATTTTATATTTATTTATTTATTCTCCTCACACGGTGCAGGCTGCAAAGTTGGTCCAGCAAAAATGCTGTAAGTCCTGTATCTCGCTTCCTGGTATCCTTTCCAAGGACTCTAGCTGCCTGCATTTGACAGGCGAGTCGAGACACTTGAAGCAGATTGCAGGACTCGCCGGCCAGCATCCTTGGCCCACCTCTCCATGAGCTGTTTTTGAGTTATTGTGCAGTCCTGGCGGAGCAACTCCTGCTCCTCCTCGCATGCCGATGACACAGCAGGACATTCGCACTTTGTAGCCAAGCCCAACAATTTGCAACAATTTATGGGAGACCCACGCCACGGCGGTAATTAGATTGTGACTTGATGTGAAATTTAAAGCAAATTGATGCGTGAAATTTGGGGAGGAAACCAAGGCCACCCTCTCAATTAGACGTAAGCCTTGGCATTTATAAATAAATAAGTAAACAACGGCCACAAAAAGCTGCTGACATGTTGAACAACCGATTAACCGCAGAGATTCCTTGGCCTTTCTCTTTCTCCCAATGGCACGTGCCTGTTTTTGGGATTTTTGGTATTCGGTTTGCTGTTCTGCTTACTTCCGGCCATTGAGTTTTCCATCGTCTGTGCTTGGGAAACCCAGATTTTCCCATTTTCCGCCACCCCTCGAACAATTGAAATAATAAGCTCAGGCGGCGATAAGATTAATGATTATGGGTCCAGCCCAAAGTCAGTCGGATTTTAAGGGGGAATGGAACTTTGGAACCACCGACCCACCGGCATCATCGTCATCGTCTGTTTCTGATGGAAATTAATTATAAAGCGTGCAATTTAGTATGCCAAGGAGAGGCGTCTGGACATTTCCGTTCCTTGTTCTACGAGCCCTGTTTAATGAGCTAGAAGTTAATGTCGTACTGAAAACCTGTTCTACTTAACCCAATTATTACTAAAATCAAACGACTAACGGAAATTCCTTGATAAACAGCTCGTTTTGGATATTATAGAATTATCAACTGCACTCGATAGACCAGGAAACGAGTTTAGTTGTGTTGTGTTAGTCCGTCCGGCTTGTTAACAAATATTGGCCATGTAACGAGTGTTCTACCCCTCAGGGCAAACCTATAATCATTGTCTAACACAAAAATACTCGTTTTATTTTTCGCCACTCATATAATAATTAAATTTATGCAAACATTTGTGCCGGCGACAAAAACTAATATTCAATTGTTGTGAATAGTAATTAGCGCTTTCGCTTAAATGGTTTTGTTTTTGGAGTTAGGGAAGTATGGATTACTAAATTGTTATGAAATAATCAAGGATAGTGGGTAATTGATAAATTGATAGAAAATTAAATACAAATTAAGTGGGTGAAATTTGAATAAGCGTTTGATAAACAGGGAATGTAATTATTTAGGCATTCAGTTTGAATTTGTTCTTTTATTTTAAATCTGAATAATTCCTAAAGGTTAAATAACAGATTATGTATAATAAAGCAATTAAAATTACAAAAAAATTGACTTTTTTTAAAACTTAAAAATCACTGAGTTCCTCAACAAATCTGGGTAATTTCTTTTCGTAGTTTTCACCATCATTTGGAGCAAACTTCTTCTCGAAATGAAGTTTTTGAGCACTCTCATCTCGAATTTCTGCTAAACGTTTTGGCACTTTGTTAAAGACCCAACCTCTCTCCAAATAACACTACCCCAAGGAATTAGAGCCCATTCCATTGACAGTAAGCCAAAACGATAAGTAACATATTTTTCTGACACGCTGCCAGCATAACGCGCATAGAATTTGTTTGAAGTTTTTATAAACCACCCAGAGAAGTCGGGTTGGAAGTGGGCTACAAATTGCTCCCCCAATCCGAATTTTTCTTCCTCCCCTCTCTATATTTTTTTTTCTGCCGAAAATTGACTTTGGGCAATGAGCACAAGCTGTTGTTTTTGTGGGGGAGGATGAGCTGGCTGGAGATGGAGTTCCGAGTCCCGAGTCCTGCAACATATGTTAACTAATGAGGCTGGCCGGACTATATATATGTATATATCCATCCCAGGGGCAGGCTGTCAACCCATTTCGGGACCCTGGATGTCATTCGATATGCTGCGTAATAGCGTATTAAATAGTCTGCTACTATTTGCCAAAGTCATTCCGACGGCAGTTGGCAGTGCGTTTTGGGTTACTGGCCATCGTCCATTTGGAGTCCTCCCCTTTTTGTGGTGATTGTTTCAGAAGCCAGTCGAAGTGCTTGCAAAATACTTCGGCTTGTGGCCGACGACCGTTTATTTAGCAATTTGTCAACAATTTATTTTGTAACCAAAGCTGCGAATGATGGTTTTTAATGTTTCCCAGTCGTTTGGCGAGGAGGGTTGCAAATTGGCAAATTGAAATGAAATTTGAGTTATGAACATTTCGGGTGGACTTAAGTGTTCTTTGATTTGGGAAGTCAGAAGTGCTGGTTGAGATGGATTTATTAATTTATATGTACATAAGTTTTGATACTATTGACAAAGGTAGAAAAAAAATGAATAAATGAGTAACAAATTAATGGAAAATAATAAATAAAAATCTTTTCCCACATCTAAATCTTTTAAAAGCGTAGATACTTTTGACATAGTTAAAAAAAAATGAATAAAAAACTTTTTCCACATTTAAATCTGTTAAGAAGCTTTAATTTTGAATAGAGAATTGATGAAATAAGTAAATAACAGATCAAACATCAAATAAATTAAGAAAGAATGCTTTTATTTGCTGTATTTATTAACTAAATTTAAATTGAATTGAACTGAAAAAATCCTCTTGAGTGGTAAACTTTTAATCTTAAATGAAAACCAGCTATTCGCAATAACCAACCACAAAACGGCCCTTAAAGGATAACAAGGGCCATAAAAACCAAAGCAAACAGCGTAAAAGACCAACCCATATCGAGTGTTAAATACTCTCGATTCCCATTCAGGGATTATTTATCGTGCTATTTGATTTAAAGCCCCTGGCTTCTGTCGCCACCGCGAAAAGAAATCGAAATCGCTAACCAAATAAAAGCAGAATGCTCTGCATGCGTCTGCTGTGGGAAACCCTCCGTAAATCCGGAAAAAACACAAAAGACAATCCAGACGAAATGGAAAATAAAAATATTTATAACGTGAAAATGCCAAAAGAGAGATATGTATTGGTGGCAGGGGGGGTGGGGGAAATGGGTGGAAATTCCACAGTTGATTGCCAAGCGTTGGCGGGAATTTCCTTTATTCGAGCTGCGTGATTTTTTTTTTCTCCCCCATTTTTCGACAAATCAAAAACAGACGAATTTGTTTTGGACACGACACTTAAAAAGTTGCTGTGCGACAGAGAGGGTGATAAGCCCAGACACGTGTGTGCGAGGGATGAAACGCATATATATATATATATATATTCGATCCTAGTCCTGCCGCGCGATTCCTCAAGCCTTTGTGTATTGATTTAAAAATGCAAATCACATTTGGCCTCAAGATGTTTTCATTTCCGCTGCGTGATTCTGGCAGTCGCCTGCGGACAACTCTGTGCTGATTTTCCCTTCCGCTTTCCCATTTTCCCACCGCCTTTGTCTTCGAGTGTCATTAATGGCAATTAAATTTATAGCCAGCGGATTATGAGGCTGGTAACTGTCACTTGCAGTTCGCTTTGAAGAGGGCGTGACTGATTTGAGAAGTGTGCGGACTGCTGTTCAAAGTTGGATTGGCTTTTCTGGCTCTTTTTGGAATTATAGATGTTCCTAATAAATTTGTTCAATGCAAATAAATACCTATTATCAAACGTAGTGCTTATAAATAATTATTCAGATTTTTAACCCCCCATATCTTTTTTCTTTTGGGGAATAAGTAAAATACATTTATTTATATGCATCGTACGTTTTTTGAATACAAACTAGTCCAAACTAGTTTTGAAGGTGTTTAAAAATAATATATTCAGTAGTCTAGTATTCTACAATACATGAATCGTGCCTACACATATGGTCGACGTTTTTTTCTTTCTTTTTTTAGAAAACACAAACTATTTAAGAAAATAAACTTAAATAGGTAACATCTTTTCCAACTTATCTCATTCAGTATTAATATCACTCGCTGGCAAAAAGACCAGATTTATTTAGTTATTCCAATAAAAATAGTAGTTCACTTATACGATAAAAATCTTATCCATGTAATCAAAAAATTGAACCCGTTCAAAAAACCTTAAGTCCTTTAGTTAATAACTTCAGAACGTGACATGCATTCCAATCAGAGGAGTAAAAAAAAAATCGCACCGAAACCGCCCATAAATCGCGTTGGCTGCAATAAACGCAGGCGGTTTTGGATGCCAGCGATTTTTCGAGTGCGTTTGTAAAAATCGCAATAAACGTTGCAATGAACAACACTCGAAATGATGAATCACCTGGGCATCATCAATGCAGCGTTTGCCAAACCACAAGGCACGCGACACTGGACAATGGTCGAAGGCCCAGTCCACTGTTCGAATTGCAGGCCACTGCTGCAGTGTGCTGATATTTATGGCGGGCACTGTGCAGCAAAATGAACAACAAATGGCCGCAAAAAGTGCAGCAAAAGCAAGGATGGAGGCTCTTAAATCATGTTGCATACAACTAGGCGCAGTGCAATGCACTCACACTTGAAGGACCACAAGGACTCACTCTCACACTCGCACTCACACACACTCATACACACTCAACCTGTGTCACTCGAGTGTGAATATCCGCACTCGTTCATCACCCACACCGAATCGGAAAAAGGACCCCAGACTTATCCCCAGACCACTCCCTTTATATGGCACTCGTTAATGGAGCTCCCATCGCCGCCGGCTGGCCAACACTTTGTGTGTCCTTTGTCCTTTGTCCCGTTCCCGGTCCCATTCCCATTCCCACCACACCCAATTCCCTGTCCAGAATCCTGCGTCCTGGTTCCAGCCACCGCAAGCTGGACACCCGCTGCGATTTGATTGCGAATTTTTCTGACATTTTTGCACATTTTTGCCGTCCCCACCGAGCTTTCTTTTAACTTTTTTTCTATCCAACCAACTTCTCTGGTATTTTTCCTAACCATTTGTTTTTAGCTTTGCTGTATTCGCTATTCCCACACTTTGACAAACTGCTTTTGATAAATGTTTTCAAGTTTTCCAACCAAAGATTTATAGCAGAATTAAAGACAAATATCATCAAAATGGGATAATAAAAAATAAAAAAATAAAATAGATAAGAAGATTTTATTTGGAAGGAACTTTTATAAATAAATAATATTTTTTAAATGTTTTTTAATGAAATGAGATCAAGTAAAATTAAAAAATAAGAAACCGAAGTACTTTCCTGATCCCCTAGTTTCTATAAGCCTCATATAATATTATTGCTAGACTAAGTAAACTAAAATCGCAGGCGGGTTCTCTGATCTATAAAGTACTAGACAAACTTCATAAATCTAAAGCAACCTAGTTTACTAAACCGAGTCACTGCTTAATCAATCATTTTAAAATGACCATTATTTAACGTTCAGAGATCTTTCAATAGGTAGAGTAAATTACACAATTTGTAACTCTCGTTTTTGTAACAGTTTAACGTTTGAAATACTGTAGCATTTTACTAGGCGATATTTTTACAGACGCGGGCATTATAAGATCATTAGGGCGTAAGTGATCGATCGAGTGACTGGGTCCCGAAAAGGGGCGTGATTTGAGAAATGAGTTGATGCATTCGTGTTTCCTGCAACTGGACACGCTTATTGTGCAATTATGAAATTTTTATGAATCATATGCCGGTGAAAAGGAGCAAAAAGAACAAAAAAGAGCTGCACTAATTTGGCGTGACATTGTCAGTCATCAGTAGTCATCATCATCAGCATTTCGGGGGATGACTTGCTGACAACTAACGTCCTGATTGAGTTGTGATCGATTACATTGTGACAAGACCGAATTGGCCACGCAAATTTTTCGCAGCCATGTGAAAATGTGTCTGCACAAAAAAAGGTCCTTTGAGTCTTTACAAAAATTAATTTAATTATTGCATGACTCCCCGGATGGGAACCTCTGCCATCAATGAAAGCTGCCCGCCGTCTCAGCCGACATGAATTTCTTATAGCTCGTTATAATTTCATTATACTTCCACCTCGACCTCGGCCTGTACATACCGGTTTATATGTGTATATATATATATATATATATGGCTGATATGTATAAGAAAGCGACTGCGCATTTCAAGGAGCGTCGTCCCCCTCCCATTTTCCCGGTTTTCTGCCATTTTCCCTGCGCAGCCATTGCCGGAGAGCTTCCAGGGCGGAGTTTCCACCGCATTGTTCGCTTTTTGTTTCTGCTTTTTCGGGCACTTAATTTATACTTCCGTCGCTTTTTGTTGTCTGCTTATTAAAGCTGATTCGAAAAGTTCGTGGCAGAGCGAAATTTTCATAAGCGGTTAAATACAATTTTAGAATGGCATAATTCTGTGCTCATTAGCTTATTGATTTTTGTTTTGTTTTCGAGAGCAGATTGTTTATGGATTGCTTACACCAAATTGTCAGAGTTTAGTGGGTAAAGTTTTGGTTTCGAGAATATAAAGGAGGGAAATGGTTTTAGAAATGCTAATTGGGTGTTGTTGGGGTAAGTTTGTGGGAATTAGGTCATATATGGGGTAAAGATAACTTTAATAAGCTGAGAATATTTCATTATTTTGGTCATAGAAAGTATAGTACAAAGAAATTAGCAGAATACTACTTTTTTATAATCACGAGTCCATTTTTGTATAATAAATGTATGGTTTTATATTTAAAAACAATTTAATTGCGATGGAAGGTAAATTTCAGCTGACAAAAGTTGTTTCTTGTTCTTTTTTATTGTTTTTAAGTTCTCAACGGATAGGCTGACTGCAACTTTTAATCCAATAAGTATAGTATACTTTTGGGCAAAAGTAAGCTTATCGACATGGACCATAAAAAAACCCATAAATGTTTTAATATATGATGCAAGAATTTTGCGAATTGCAAAATAAAATATATTGTTGCTAGTGTTATTTAAAGTTGAGGGGATGGTTCTCTAAATAAAGTGATTTTAATTAAAAAATGTTGGCTTAATGAAACCCAATGTAGAAAAAAGGGGGCACCCGGATTTGAACCAGGGACCTGTCGATCTGCAGTCGAACGCTCTACCCCTGAGCTATGCCCCCAGTTGGCTGTATCACCTAAAAGGCATTGAAAATCACCAAGCTTACGTAAACAAAATCATGATTCATTGGCCATATAAGGTGTTCAAACATGGTGCCATTGACTGAAACTTAAGTTCAATTTATCTCACCTGAGAGTCCTTCAATCCCAATCTCTCGGCCAGTTTCTTGCGATCCGGCTTGCTGATGTACTTCTGCTGCTGGAACCGCTTCTCCAGTCCCTTTCTTTGTGAGTCTGCAGGAGGAGAAGCAATTAATTGAATGCCCATGCAAGTGGGTGCCCCTTCTACGCACCTGAGAAGACGGCACGTCGCATCATCCCACGACGAGGCTTGCCACGTGTCGAATGGGCCCAGGGGAATCCCTGTCCAGGGGGCAGGGGAAACACTTGGGCGCCAACTGCAATTGTTGCGATGGGAAAGAGGAAATGCATTAGACCAAAACACTTGTTAATGGCCACAGCGGGTGGCTCTAGTCGGATCTGGTTGGGGATGTGTCATATTTGGACAGCAATTAGGGGTCTTTACACTTCAAATCGAAATACTGCATTTCAGAAACTTAATTTGAATTTAAATTATTAAATTAATCAAGTTGTATAATAATTGTTTTATAATATTAAAACATTAATTGTGTAATTGAAATTTATTAGCAATTATTTAAAGACGTCTGAGCATCATTTTCAATATTTTGAAGTATAAATTATATTTGATTTTGAATTATTGACATTAACTTTAAATAATTTTGTATTTCAAAAAGTGCTTTGGACTTTCAAAAGCATTTGTGCTATAGTTTTGTATCTTTGGAAATGAATGTATAAATAAAAGAAACATAACTATCTGTTATAAAATAATTAGAATTATAAAATATTCTGTATTTAGCAGGGATTATATTAGTTAGATTATTATTATTTATTATTATTTTTTAAAGTACAGATCAGCACTTACCACTCATGTAGGGATTGCGGCAGTGCGCCAGCAGCGAATGGAGGTGCGGGTGGTTGAGGGTGTGCGGCAGGAAGGGCGTGGGGCGGCTGGGCATGGGCTTGGCAATCACCGGCGGAGGAGGCGGTGGCGGCGGCGTCGGATGGCCATGGCCACCACCTCCTCCTACTCCCCCCTCCTCCTCCTCCGGCGCCCAGCAGCTGCTTGTCTTGCGTTAATCTTCGACTGGCGGTGTCCTCGTCGTTGGTGGGATTCCCCATCTCGTGCGGTCGACCATCCTGGCCAGAATTGCCATTGGCAGTGGCATTGGAGCCGCCGTGATTGTTGTCGCTATCACTAATTGTGCTGCCAGGTGACGACGACGAGGATGCGGTTTGCGGTTGACAACTATTGCCGGGATGCTGCTGATGTTGCTGGTGTTGCTGCTGTACATGTTGCTGTTGTGCATGCTGCTGCTGCTGCTGCTGCTGATGCGGCGGCAGTTGATGCGTTAGAAATGCGGGATGCGGAAAGTGGGCGTGCCCCGCCCCCCCATGGTGATGGTGATGATGATGCGGATGTGGATGTGGATGCGGATGAGGATGAGGATGTCCTGGCACTGGCAACTGTTGGTGTTGCTGGTGGGGATGCTGCTGATGGTGTGGCTGATATTGATGCGAGTGCTGCTGCATGAAGTTTTGCTGTAGATAAGGCCATATATGCTGCGGTTGCATGAATTCTGTGGGGCAAGAGCGAGATTGGCGAAACCATTAGTGGTGAATGAGTCACTGAAAGTCAGGTCGAATTGTGATTGCCCCTGGAATTACTTCACATTACTGAACAAAGCTTAAAAGCAAACGATTATGTAAACAATTTTGTTATTTTGTTTACTACGAAATTATAAATATAGTTTTAATTCAAAGCAGATAAGAAAATAGTTCTCTAAAACTCTTGTAAAAATATGTTTCTTTATAAGTCCAATAAATTCCTATGTTTTTATTAAGTGGCATTGAATATTTGAAGGCAAATAAGAAAATAGTTCTCTTAAACTCTTACAAAAATATGTTTCTTTAAAAGTCCAATAAATTCGTATGTTTTTTTTAAGCAGCATTGAATATTTTCAATTAATTCAACTATTAATTTAATATAATTTCATCACTTTCTCTCCCTTACATTCAAAACCACTTTGAAGTGTCAGAATGTCAGATTATCAGTCTCGAAAACAATCTGCCAAAGCCGCAATTCTTGGCTCATTCTCAAGGAATCCTTGAAGCGTGTTATGTGCTGTCTTGCCAACTTCCAGACAGGCGCCATAACCCCCCGCCCCCAATCCTTGAACACCCCTCCATCCTCCCCACACACACACACACACACACGGGCAGACAATGGAAAATGAAATCTGCTTTGAAGTGTCAGTGTGAAGTTGGCATAATTAAAGCAAACACAAACTCCGGGATAAAGGATACGCACACCTTGAGAGCAAAGTTTGGCGCCTTTGATTCAGCAGCAGGATATTCCATATATATATATATATGTATAGGGGATATCGGGGGTTGGTATCTCCTTTTTGGAGCCCTGTGTGGCTGCATTTCATTTTCTAATTAAACACCCCCAAAAGGCAGCCATCTCATTCACGCACATCCTGACAGCCTGGCAGTTGCTGCAGGATATCCAGGATATGATTTTAATTCGATTAGAGAACAGAAACAATTAACGAATTAACGCCTCTTTAGCTTCGGTAGTGTGTGCGCGTTTAATTTGATGCTTTTGACTCTTGCGGCTAACAGCTTTTTGCTTTTTGGCTTTTTGGGGGTACCCCCGAAAATTTCCATTTCTATATGGCCATCCTTGATTATCCTTATGTGTAGGAGTGCGTTTGTGTGTTTGGCACATGTGTGCCTAATGAGCGCACAAATTAAGTTATAATTGTTCGCTTTTGTTTGTTTTGTGCGTCGGCGGTTTACCGACTTTTCTGTATCTGCATCTGTGCTGCGAAAATGTGGCAAGTTTTTGGCCTTATTGGTTTATGGCCCTGCAAAAAAGTTCATTTGTGGCTTACTCTTAGGCAAAAAGCCAATTTCATGTTGAGGGAAAAATTTGCTAAGTGGATCATTGATTGGAAAACGATGGCAATTAGTTGGATTTCGTGTGGGAGGGAAATTTTAGTAAACAGTAATAAAATTGAATAATCAAAGCTTTTCGGTAGAATATTAAGACATTAAAAGTTATTTTGTTAGTATAAAGCTAGATTTTAATATTTAAACAGCTTGAATAAAAATGTCGCGATATTTCGAGCTATTAAAAGAATGTAATTTTTAATGTCTATAAAAATAATAATGAAATTCTGAGCTTTCACATGTATTAAAAGAACAATTGTCTCAAAAATTTATTTTTTTCTAACAGGATTGAAAATTAAACTGAACTAACATTTTTTTAAAAAACCTATTATAAAAATCTGTAGCAGATTCAAATTATTCGTATGATTAGGTAATAAGTTAATCTCTTGAAAACTAAATTTGTAAAATTAAAAAATCAGTGTCTAATCACTTTAATAATAGAATCCCCTACTTTTAATAACATCTATCAATTTATAACCTACTGCTTAGGTGGGTAAATCTTGTCACATTAGTTCATAATTTTAGCAATTTTTTTTGCCACGCGTTTGCCATAAAAACTGCACGATTTAACCCCAAAAGATCGTCAATAAAATCTCATAAAAAATGGACATAAAATCTGGGAAAAAAGAAGGCCCTGCCCACTCATTAATATGGAAAAGTAAACCGCGATGCAATAATCACATGACAATTAAATCCCACAATCCCAGAATTAGACGAGAACAATGCTAAAAAACGGCAAGGCAAAGCTGTTACATTGACTGATGGCCAATTGGTTCCGCCTACTTTTTGTCCCACACCCTGGACCTTTTCTATACTGCAAATAGATAGAGATTCCAGATCCTCATCCCCCGTTGTAAACAGCACGCGGCAGAGGATCTCTCGCACCATATCCCATCCAGATCCTGGCGGAAGTGCGGATGTGCCGAACTGGTTATACGGCTTTGTTGCTCAGGGGCTCTGGCTCAATAATTTAAACATGATTAGGTCTGGTTGTGTTTTTACAGCCTGCCAGCTCAAAGGAGCAACGCCCCGAGGGCTTAGGGCAACACACAATGAAATCGAGGCGTAAAAACTAAGGCAACTGCGAAGTACCAGCACTTTGATCTCTCCCCTCGCGAGGAGTCTGCAAACTTTTGGGCAAGAATTGTTATTCTTTTGGCTTTTCATATTGCAATTGTATTCAGTAATTTGTTTTTGCTCGGCATTAGCCACGGCAAATTAATTGCCAAGCCTTTTTGATGGCATTCTTGAAACAGCCCGCGGCGGGAACCTAATTGGAGGATACTATCCCAGGGACTTAAGGCCACTTCAAAATTAGAATGAACCGAGGTATTTATAGGGTATGCAAGTTTATAAAAAGAATAATACATAATAGGCTTAAAATTGTCATATCAAAGAGAAATTTAAATGACATTTAATTATGATTAAAAATTTTAATAATTACATTTAAATGAAATACAAAAATTTTAATTGGAGAAAAGGAATCAATATAATACATTTGAAAATCTGTTAAATGAATTTAACTATTTAAAACTCAAAACTTTCTTTTTGAAGATATTAATTTTAGTGTTAAACATAATATAAACATAGCATATCGTACAATTCATAATTATTTAATATTTCCGCAAGAAGAATTATAGTGATGCCAATTATAACATAAAACTTGAAAAATATTCAAATCAAGAATAAAAGACCAATTAAAGAATCTTTTAGTCTGTCCTTAAAGCCGTATCTTCCTCAAAAAATAAATAGAAAATCCTAATTACTAATTAAGGTGGTATTATAACCATTTATCTAATTTCTTACCATTTCTGACCCGGACTCCTTCCCGGGTATCCCCCAAAATCGCACTGACACTGAACTTGAGAATGGGCTTGCTGTTGGTATCCTTGAGGATGGTATTGCCCACCGTCGGGATGCTGGAGTCCTTGGGCTCTACTTTAGGCAATTTGATTGCCACCGGCTCGTCTACCTCGGCCATCTCGTCCTCCAGGTCCTCGTCCATGTCCATGTGCGGCTCCTCGCCCTCCACACTGCCGATATCGGCGACGATCTCGTCCGCCGAGGAGGAGCCATCGTCCAGCTCGTCCATCTCCTCGATGCTGTTCACACTCTCGGCACGGATTTCGCGGCACTTATCACACTTGTAGCCGCGCAACTTGGAGCAACTGCAGCCAGTTTCGGAGGCATCCGTTGAAGGATCTACAGGATCCGATCCCGAACGACGCGAGAGGAGCATCTCGCTCAGGCTGGACTTCAGCTGGCTCTCCGTGTAGGTCTGCTGGGCGTGCAGGAGACTGTCCACGAGGAAGGCCGTAGACATAACGCGAGGGAGCTAAGTGCTCTATATTTTATCGTGTTCTATATGTTATCCTTATTGGCTTTACTGTTTTTCCCGCCAGTTGTCGCGTTCGCGTCGAGTGCTCAAATCGAACTGAACTCGGTGGCGGAGCGTATCCTGGCAGGCGCAGCTCGCAGGACGCAGCATCCCGGCCAGGATTCCCTTTTCGGGGGTTGGTCGCCGTTGGTTGGTCCGCTTCTCCTGCCCAGTAGCCGTGTCGCCTGTGCGGCACGTGATTTTCCTCCTTATGTATATCCCTCTGCGCTCGCTCTCTCTCTCCCTCTCTCTCTGACTCGCTCACTCACTCGCTCTCTGGATGAGTGTCCTGTTTAGCCTTTGCCTGCTCGTTATTGTTGTTCGCTTTTTATTTGATTTTATTTGTGTGAAAACAATAAAAATTTAATTTTCTTGTTTTGTTGCCTTTGCCACTCGCTGCCTTGAACTGAATTTCCCTCGATCTTATTAGACTTGTGCTGCTATTCCACGGTGAGGTACAGTGGGGCAAAACAGACCAAAATACGGTTTTGTGGAAAAATCAAACAATTGGGTGAATATCAGTATTAGGACTCTGGGCCAAAAAAAGTATTTTCGATGTAACTTTACCAAATAGAGATCAACATGCGAGTGTATAACTGATTTATACACTTTAAAAAAATATAATTTTGGGCAAATTTTGATAGATTTCAAATGAGAATAAAACATAATTTTATAAATTTAAATGAAAGTTAACTGTGTTTTTTATTTCGAGTTTAACGTGGTATTACATTTTAAATTTAGTCCATTATTTAAATGGTTATGTTGTTATTTATTTATTTATTTATTTATTTTACACTGTAGCCAAACTTAACTTAGGGAACAGGAAAAGAATCGGCCATAGTTGCAATGACTTTCGGCCGGAGTTATGACCAAAAGTACTTGCTTTGTAACATAATTTAGTTTTATTTTTTTTGACATAAGATTAAACAGGTAAAGTAGAATATTTTAGAAATTAAAGATATGTTTTATTTGTTTGTTTATTTATGATCTGTATTTAAAAGAAATAAAAAAAAATGGTTCTTAAATTGCTCAATTGTGAAATCAAAAATATATTTCAATTTATAAACACACAATTTCTTAGAAAGCAGTTGTATGAACAAAAATATTCGATTATTGAACTTTTGTTTAGAACAAACAACTTATCAAAATATATTTAAGTTATAAAAGTGAATTAAGACAAATCCTAGAAGTATTGCACATAACTTAAATTGGACTTCCCCGTCCATAAAGTTTTGAATTTGTGCGCGCAATTTGTTGCAGGCACCGACGGCTGGGAAAAAAGAATCCTTCGGCAAGCTGGCAAGGAGTCAGTAGATTAACTTTTATTATGACCGCAAATTAGTTGTCCTCGTCGCCGTTGATGACGACAATCGAGTTTATCGACAATGATGACTTATTTACTCTGGGTCGAAAATGGCTGAGCAGCGGTTATGTAAGCTTAGAAGCTAGATAAAGGCAGGATGTGCATGTCCTTTTGGCCTCTATTGTGTGCCCAGAAAGAGAAAGAGAGAGTGCGAGAGCAGCAACCCTTGTGGCATGGCAAGGAAGTAGTGGCTGGGGGCCTCCTCCCCGCAGAAGGGGCGTGGCCTCACTCGAATCGGAAAGCCATCAGGATCTGAAAGGAGGAGAAGTGCTCTCGACAATAGGAAGAAGTACAAGGATAACAAAGGCCCCAGCTCAGATTGTTTTGCGCTGCCATTTGTGGCTTTTTGCTTTCATATGGAGCACGCCTCAAAGGATTACCCCCATATCGCCAGGACTTCCACTTCCACTTCTTCTTCTGCTGGCAGCGAGTACATAAAACATGCTCATATAAGCGTATAAATATGTGATAATAATGATTAAAAGTTCTCATCATGCCATCATCATTTATGCAAAGGATTTCGCTGGCGTGTGTCTGTGTGCGCTGAAGAGTCCTTACATTTTTATTTGCCACCGACACATGGCTCGAGCAGAGTATTTTCCATTTTCTACAATTTCCCCAACCGCTTTTCCTGCTTTGTACTTTGGCTCTCTCTTAGTCGCTATCTCCATCTCTTTTTGTAGTCGCCATAATATGAGGACAATTATTTGATAAGTGGGTTGAATGTGCAGAGTCCTCCGCAATTCCAGTTCCTGTTCGGATTCCATCTGCCATTGTCATGGCTCCGCTGCTCCTGCTTTTTGACAAATGAAAGGGGTCACCGAAACAGGCTTTTGTTGGCAGCCCCCAAAAGTATATATCCTTAGCCCCCTTTTTTAGCGGGAGAGGGGGAGTGGGGAAGGTGTCGAGGCCAAACTTTTAATTGTTTTTCAGAGTGTTGCCTCATGGCCTCAGTTTATTTTCGTTTTTATTTTTTTAATTTGTGTGCTGAATTGGAAATATGTAAATGATGTTGTTGGGTCTGCATTGGGGATTATTGTGCTGTTAACGTTTGGCTTTTTGGCTGGGCTTTGTGGGTTTATTGTTGAGACGCTGGCCATTATTGATGATGGTTTTAGAGAGGTTTGGGTCTCGAAAGTCATAGATAAATATAATTTCATAAAGAATTGGTTAGCCTAAGCAATTACAAATTTATGTTATTTATCTAAAGCCATGTTTAAAATAAGAAAAGTATTTTAATGCATTGAACATGTTACAAAAAAGATTATTATTTGTCATTTATAAAACACCAAAAGATCAAAGTCAACTTAAACAGTGAGCTGCTATAAGAAAAACTTTAGTTATCCATTTGCTTTGATATTTTTAATACAATATTCCTTTGAAGAAATGATAACAATAAGACATTTCATAAACAAAATCATAATGATAATATCAATTGAATTCCTTTATCAAAGCCTGAAGCTGCTGACGAGTTCCAACTTACTTCCTTTTTGAACTTACGTCACTTTATCTGGCGAAATCCCCTTGCAGGTAAATTCAGTTGGCCAAATTCAAAGACTTCCTTCTGTCATCGCTGCCACATGCCACTCCAGTTCGAATAAACAACTTCATGGCTCTTTGAGGGGCATGTGGAATCGAATGCCGCTGACAGCCGCATCATTATATGGATATCATTATCGTGTATCGTCTGCAGCAGCAGCAGTGGCAGCAATAGCAGAAAAAAAAAGGTAAAATGTCACAAGATGCTGCTCGATGGGTGGGGATAAATGGTTGGTTGAGTGGTTGGTTGGTTGGTTCGATTTCTGGGGGGGGGGGGGCGGGGGGCGTGGCTGGGCAATATAATAAAGCGCAAACATTTATACACGACACTCGATGCGAAGGACGATATAGAAAAAGCATTCCAGCCAAGTTAACTGTCGATATCAGCTGCTGCCACGGCCATGTCCCCACCACGCCCACTACGTTCACCGCCCACCATCCCAGCCCAACCAACCCACCCACCAACCCATGAAATGAATGCGAATTCTGTTTGCCATCGATTTTCAGGACAACGTTTATTATTTTTATTATATTCGCCGGCAACTAGAGAAGCCAGAGCAGAACTCTCGGGGTGGCTGCGAAATTATGGGCTTTTCATAACGTTAACAGTCGCATAAATACACTCTTTGTGTCAGCCAAGTAGAAAAAATGCGATAAAAGATTATAAAGTGTGTGTTGTCGTTGGCTTTTGCTGCCCAGTGTGGGTTGGTTGCTTGGTCCTTCCACGGTTCGCAGTTCGTTCTCGTTCTCGTTCTCGTCCTGCCGGCGACATCTGTTTCCGACATCTTTTAATAAAATTTTCATCTTTATTACAAAACGATTGTTTTATGCGCCACGCCCCCCCGCCCTCCTTGACTCCTTAAATCCCCGAACTTCAAACTTGAACTTGGACTAGACGACGTGTCCTGCTGGCGGAAGTCCTTCAGCGGAGTCGCGAAAGGAAGTAATTAGAATGAAGCGATTTTTAGTTGCCAAGTTTTTCGCTCGCTCGCATTTTTATTTTTATTTTCATTTTTTTTTATTTTTGCACCCAGGGGAAAAGTTTTCATGGGACTCCATGACCCGCCAAACAGTTTATGAAAATATTTTCCATTCTTTATTTTATTACTTTATTTCACTTAATTTGATTGCACACCACGTTTTTTTACCCATTCCTGATTGTATGGAAATAATTGCCAACTTTATTGGTTAATTTATGAAATTTACACATTTAATGGTTTGTGTTATTGTTGTGAGTTGGGCATGTGTGTGTGTGAGTGTGTGTGTGTGTGGTTTGCCGGTAGTTGTGGTTTTGCGGTGGCTCGCATATTTATTTGTGTTTGGACCATGTGGTTGGAAAATGCAGTGCAGTTGAGTGGTTGTTAAGTGGGCCTAGTTAGGTGTGTAACTACGTGAGAAAAGCTAATTTGGGCGAGCAGTTCAAATTGCTGATGAACAGCCAATGAAACGGCTAATTAATGCTATTTTCATTAAGTTTAACCTTGATTGTATTCGGTTTTTAAGCAACATGGCTTAAATAAGATTTTATATGATGTTACTTTAAGATATATAGATTTATATTGTTTTGTTTTACATAATTTTAAAGTGCATAGACTTGTATTTAATTTATTTAAGAGTAAGCTAATTGAAAGTGCCACCTTTTAAATTCAATTTTATTCAACATCAAATAAAGATCATTCGTTTCCCCCTCTTTCTTTGCAGTTCATGACCTCTGATGGAGTACCCTTTCCTCTTTTCGATGGTAGACCAACATAAATATTTTTGCAATATTATTTTTAAAAATTTTTTTGCAGCGGAACTTCGTTGATTTTTGATATACGCATGAGGGCGCCGATTAAGCCAACTGGAAAACTCGCATAGCCGCTTCTCAGCCACGCCCCCTTGATTTCCCCACAACCAGAACTCCCAGAATTGCAATAGCAAAAAATAAATAAACACAGCTTTAAAAAAATCACTGAGTTGCATAATTTTCCAAGAGATGAGAGGAGAAGAGAATCAGAGCGAAGGCAATTAATATTTTTTATTGCATACAAATTGCATAATTAGTCAAAGCTAAATGACAGGACACAAGGCACACAGACCCAGAAAGCGAAAGGACAATAATAAAGGAGCAAAAGGGTAGCAGACAACAAATGTGTTGT